GTGGTCGACGTCCAATGTTCTCCTGTTGCACCTCCTGATGGGTGGTTTCCACGTTCTCGTGATTTTTTATGGTAGTTCTTGATCTGGTGAACACCATTTTGGTCTTGGGACAAGTAAATTCTGATGAACGTTTGCCAGAATCTTCAAAATATTGGCGGAGCCCTTCCTTCTAGCGCCAAAATGTTGACACAGAAATCTGCACCAACCAGCAAGATCCGATTGACCTTGCCAGGATCGGAACTGATGTGTTCGTGATTAAGAATAATCAGCAATGTATGTAAAAATAATGCAATAAAGTAAAGACAATGAGAGTTTTAAAGTGGTTCTGCGAGGTTAACTCTGAAGTTTACGTCCACTGTTTTTGTATTTGGTGTGAGAGCTTACAATATAGTTCCTATGTGAAATTCGTAACCTGTTCCTCCTCGTTTGAGGGGGTTTAAAATTGATCTGAATCATAATTCTGATATTCTCTCGATTGGGTGCTGTGATTACGCAATGATCGCAGCTGATCTAGTCATTCCCATGATATCTGGGATCTAAAATAATCTGGAGGTTGATTGAATGATTCCTTGAACTATCCGCGACTAGCTTATGCTAGGTCAAGCTTCGGCTCGACGAGCTTATGCTGGGTCGATTAATCATTTTTGCTGAGCTCATTCTAGGTCGAGCTATTTATATAAACAAGAAATGTAAATAATTTCGAAAATACCTTCCATTTTAAATAAATTTTTCTTGACTTTGCCAGCGCAACCTTGACAATGAAGTGAAACTCGCATAACAATCACCTAAAACATATACAATTAATTTACTATAACTATATTATAACAAAGATGGTATCATATGAAATGAAATGTGTGATCTCACCTGGAAGAGCTGGTCCGATGAAGTGGTGGTGGTCAGGGTTTCAGTTTTGTGTCTTGGTCAAGATCTTGTCTTCTTTTAATAATAGATGGAACAATAAGTCTAGAGTAGGTTGCATTGTTTATTAATTTGGTAGTATCGTCATCGTCAATAAGAATTTTGTTAGGGTTTGTGGTGGTGAGAACAGCGATGGAGCGCGGATTAGTCACCATGCACGCTGTTGTGGACTAGCACATGAATCCCCTCATCATCTTCTTCTTACTTGTCTTCATCATCATGAAATGAAGGTGGTGAGAATTGAAATGAAAGTAGGAAGGAAGGAGTAAGAAAGAAACTAGTGCATGCTATATTTATGAGTTAGCTAACCAAACCAAGTATAGGCTCGCAGTGGCAGCTCTTTTGAATGCTTTCAACTCCTCTCTTTCTATCTGTTAAATGTTCACAAATTGACTGCTTTTAAAATTCAGTTAAAGTGGTAGAGAGATGAGGCAGGTAACAATTAATAACAACTAATAGTTTTTTCTTGTTCAATGCCTTTCATTTCTCTGCTGGGCTTTTATTTCTTGAATTGACCACCAACTTATTGTTCCTCCAGTACAACAACTCCTCATAAATATATTATTGCATTGGCATATCCATCCCATTTTGTTTTTTATATTTCTTTTGTGTTTGGTGTGGTATAAAACTGGATTAACGACACTAAATGAATAAGGTTAATTCTTTTTTATTATTTAAATAAGAATGATATTACTCATTTTAAGATATATTTCAAATTTTACGTCAAATAATGTATCATCATATCTGACACTAAAATATAAATAAATAAATTGATGATATATTAAGGGTGCGTTTAGTTCAAGGAATGTTATATTACTGAGGAATGTTGTATTACTGGAAAGATAGATTAATAGGGAATCTTTCAAGAGATGTATTTGCTGGATTAGAATAAATTGCTGGGTATGTTATAATAATATGTTTGGTTGGGAGGATAAATGAGTGTGTATGTTATGTAGATTACTAAATTACCCTCATTTTAAATAATAATATAATATTATTTTTTAAATTATTTCTTTTAAAATTTTACTAAAACACCCCAACCATATACAATTTTAATTTGTAGCAAAATCACCCCCACTCACCCCAAGCCACCGTAATGGCGCACGACTGGCCGGATCTGGTTGGTCATGCGGTGATAAGGTCTAATCTGACCAGATCTGGTCGTGAATATGGTTGTTTCATGGCTAGATCTGGCCGTGAATATGGCCATTTCACGGCCAAAGATGTGGTCATGAAACAGCGACCATTTCACGACCAGATCTATGGCATTTCACGACCACATCTTTGGCCATGAAACGGCCAGATCTGGTCATTTCTGACCATGGATCATAAATCCATGGCCGAAAACGTCCTTATCGGCACACGACCGGCAAGATCCTACCGGTCTTATGCCGATATGACGACTTTCACCAGCAGCTAACGGTGGTGGCTAGCGGCCGGCGATGGTCTTGGGTGGTTGGGGGTATTTTGTTAACTTTTAAACTTTTTTGTGCGAGGGTGTTTTAGCTAAATTCTTAAATGTAGGGGGTCTGGGTAATTGTTATTTGGTAGATATATGAGGACAAATGTGTCCGAAACGATAAAAGATTAAGGGCAAAATAGGGTCAAAATAAAGAGTACCTCGGTAATCTTATATTAACACCCCTTGAGAAGGTAATCTGATTACCCCCAATATTACCAACAGTAAACACTATTTGCAATAAAAGATTACATAATATTTTATTACTTGACAACCAAATGAGGGAATTTTTAAAATTAAACAAAGATTACAGGATTAATCTTATATCATCCCGAAGCAAACGCTACCTAAACAGTATGTTATATGACTCCATCAATTCTCTAAGGTTGTGTTTGGTTAGGGCTGTGGGCAGATAACTCCTGTTATCTATCTTTGATTCTAGACATTCCTTTGTTTGGTTTGACTGTAATATAAGATTATAGGAATGTTTCATTCCTAATAGTGAATATTGTTGGTCATTTTGGAGATTATCAGATTACCTAGTCCAGAGGTGGTAATCTATTTCTTTTTACCAAGGTTATATTTTTTTACCAAATTTTCCCTTAAATAAAAGCTAATTCGGATTGAATTGTCCTCAAATGTCTACCACATAACAATTATCCAAACCTCCTACATTTGAGAATTTACTAAAACACCCCAGCCACAAAAAGTTTAAAAGTTAACAAAATACCCCTAGCCACCAAAGACCATCGCCGGCTATCGGCAATAGTCACAAGATCGACGCACGACCGGTAGAATCTAGCTAGTTGTGCACCAATCTGGCAGTTTCCATCCATATCGAAGGCCGAAAACGGCCAGATCACTGTGGATCTAGTCGAAAATGGCTAAAACAGATCTAGCCGTTTCTAGCCAGATCCATGACAATTAGGTTGTTTTTGGCCTTCAATCTGGCTAGAAACAACTAGATTGACATGGATTTGGTTGGAAACAGTGGTGGCCGGCAATCAGTGGTGGTCTTGGGTGGCTGGTGGTATTTTGTTAATATTTAAACTTTGTTGTTGGTTGTTTTAACTAAATTCTTAAATATAGGGGGTTACAAAAATTTATTTAAATAATAATAATAATAATAATATAATGATATTAAAAAGGAAAGGCAATTCAGTAAAAGCTTCTGTCGATAATATTTTATTATTTCCAACCAAATATCGTAATTATTTATACCCACTAATCTAACCAAACGTATTAATATAACATTCCCCCATAATCTTCAAGGTAATCTATCTTACTGGTAATCCTACTTTTTTAACAATAAAACATTCCTCGAACTAAATGCACCGTAAGAGTAATGCTAAGTCCACAACCCAATCTCACAACCCCCGATGTGGCAGCTCATCATTGGTCAACTTGCAAAATGGGTTTTGCCTGCTTGTATGGACCTCCCTTGTCCATTTACGAGTTAACCAATGATGAGCTGCCACGTCAAGAGTTGTAAGAGAAGGTTGTGAGATTAGGTTGTCGACATAGCATTATTGGTTCTCTAATTAATCCCTATTTTACATTAATTCCAAGATTACCCTTTTAGAATTTTACCGTTAAAAAAATATTGAAAAATCTAATAATTTCACTTAACATTTACCTTCATCAATTGTGAAGTATCTCATGGTTGTCAAATCGTGTATCGTACCGTATATCGAAATTTAATTTTTCGAATCGTGTATCGTATCGTATCATATGATATGCATTTTTCAAAAAAATTAATAAAATAATCAAAATTTTCTAAAAATTAATATCATCCCCAAGATTAATTAAAGAATTTTGTGGTATTATTGGCTTCAAATTATGTTATCACATAATCAAAATTAATCACAAAATTAGAAATCTATATCATTTTCTCTTAACTTTTCAAATCATTTCCAAAATCAATGTCAATATTTATATCAACACTTGTATTATTATTATCATGAAAAATGGGCAATATATGTTCCTCTTCACTTTCTCCATGCAAAATGGGTAAATTTGGGCAAGTTTTATTGAACCAGGTTGAGTGGCCCGGTTTCGACCTGAATTTTTTTTAATAAAATCGTATCGATTTGTATCGATATTTTTAAGAATACGAACGGATACGTACCGTATCGTAGGATACATATCAACGTATCGAAAGGTTTAAGATACACTCTTTGATACGTATCGTTGACGACATGTATCGAATCGTTTCGTATGATACTAATAACCATGAAGTATCCTACCTTGAAAAGAAAAATATATACAATTTTTTATCTAGTAAACAAGAAGATATTGATAAAATAGTTTTATTTTCCATTTGGGATGAACCGATAACCAAATCGGAAAACCGGTTCAACCAAATTTGTAAACCAAAACTGAATCTATTTTCAAAAATACCAGTTTTTCGGTTCGGCTTTTTTTTAACACCCCTACTCGACCCAGACCAAGGCCAATTTCAAGTTTTGGTTGGCCTTGACCTCTAATTGATATATACATTGATGACTTTTGGTATTTACAAAAATAGGGACAAAAGATCAATTACAATTAAAAAGAAAAATAAATCACTCGTTAAATTGTTGAATGTTCAAATGCTTTGAGAGCAAAGGAGCCGAGGTTGTCATGCAGAGAAAGATGCCTTTATTCGTGTCACATTCTTTACTAAATTTTGAATACATAAAGATAACATGTGGGTGCCGTCCCATTTGCTAGCGACTATAGTTTAAAAACTTCAGTTGGCAACCCTATAAAAATTACAACATCGCCGTGCTGATACAACAATATGTGATATAAACTGGACATTGAAAATGAAAAAGAAAAAATAAAACAAAAGGGAACATAAAATATATGCACAAATGTGGATCAATATCACTTTCCAAGTACAGAATGCGGTGTCAAAAGGAAGCACAAAGGTATCATCTAGGACCAGATAATTCGTCCGGCTGGATGTGGGAAGTTGAATCGACGATCCAGTTAGTATTAGGGTGGTGAATGTGGTTAAACTCTTGGCGCATATCCTCTTTCTGCCATTCCTCCCATCTTTCAGCCAAACCATCGCCTTCCAGCATTCTCACCACCTCTGACATCTTTGGTCGCTCCTGTGGTGAGCCTTGTGTGCACAGAAGAGCCACCTGAATCAACTGCTCCACTTCTCCCTCAATGTAATTGCCCTGCAGATCGCCATCAACCAACTGTTCCAACTTCTTCTCTTTTAAAAGTCCTTTCACCTGAAATATTGAAGTTAATAAAAAGTTGAAAGAACTGTTTCTCTACCGATGATCTAAACAGCGCACAACTAATTACGAACTCTGAAGGACATTAATCACACAACTACTAAATGAAACCTTCTAATTCACAAATATCTCGCATTTCTCTTGGAAATTACTCGAGGAAAGTCTAATCAGCATAAACAGAATCGATCCGAGGAGACAATCTTTGGGCAGTCAAAAGAACATGAAACTTTTCCCACATCTAACAATATGGCAAATCATTCAACAATAAGCAGGGAAGAGAAAGTTTAATCATCCTGATTACCCAAAATCACCCATCAAAAACGTTTAGTCTGTGCCTAGAGCTCACAAGCAATTAGTTTGAAACGGAAACCATGTAAGAAAAGAAATTTAAAGAACTAAAATGTAAGTTCAATGGATTTAAAAATAATTCTACTATAGAAACTTGTATAATTCCCATAATTATATATGATATCTACATTTTCAAACCCTCTATTTAGTCTTCCTCTTTTCTGCTGAATAAATTTAGAAAATATAATTCTGTGAGCTATTACTACCTCCCTTGGCCAAGCAATTGTAAAAATAACCAGAAATCACAAGAAACTATAATTTTGCAAGAAAGGCAGTATAGTCATTTGCAAATAATTGACATGCAAGATATAATTGGAGTGAGGTAGGAGTATGGGAGGAGAACAGGGTCGATGAGCAACAGATAGTTCATACCCAATCAAGGAGCATGACATCATCATCATTTGCAAGCCGAGCAAGATCGAAAGCTCTCTGTCCTGTGATGAGTTCAAGAAGCATGACCCCATACCCAAAAACATCAGTCTTCTCTGATGACTTTCCAGTTGAAAGGTACTCCGGAGCTATATGCCCAATTGTGCCACGTACAGCAGTGGTAACATGCGTATCTTTGTAATCCATGAGTTTAGCCAACCCAAAATCTCCAACAACAGCTTCAAATTCCTCATCCAACAATATATTAGCAGCTTTGACATCACGGTGAATAATCTTAGGATCACAATGGTCATGCAAATAAGCAAGCCCCCTCGCAGATCCTAGCGCAATCCGCTTCCTTTTGGACCAATCTAGTGGTTCTTGTGATTGCGGCCGCTCTAGATAACACATCATCATATGACAGAACAATTTCACATCATAAACACAAGAAACTCAAAATACTGTACTAAAAGAGTTTACAATAAGAAATCGATACTATAGATTTTTAGTCAAACTGCATCAGTAATTAAACTGAAAAGGTTAAAATTGTTATGACACATAAAATTGGTGACCTGAATATTTATGTACGAGAAATAAATTACTATAGAACTCCCCTGTCCTGCTACCCGAGCGAGGCAGAGTGATACTTAAATACCATTTCCACTCAATCTTTTCTAAATTTATTAAAAGCACCCCTCTGTTATGTAGTTGCTCCACATAAATTTGTATGAAGCATTAGAATGTGAAGTATTATTCAAATATTACAACAAAGCAATGGAAAAAACAAAAAATTCAAATGAGCAGTGCAATAAGATATAACAAGCATACCTCTTAAACATGATGCCACACTTCCATTAACCATAAAAGGATAGACAAGCAATCGTTCTGTAGGTGTCATGCAAAAGCCACGTAGACGAAGTAGATTTCGATGAACAGCCATGCTGATCATTTCTACCTCTGTTTGGAACTGTAACTCCCCACCCTGGGTACGCTCCTCTTTCAATCTTTTAACTGCCACTAAAGAACCATCAGCTAAGCGTCCTTTATAAACCTTACCAAACCCACCTCTACCCAGAATGTGTCTGTTGCTAAAACTATCTGTTGCAACTTGTAGTTCACGTAGAGAAAACCTTTTGAGCTGCCCCAAATGAACTTCTGGATCTTCTTCAGCTGTTAAAAAAATAAAATAAAAAATAATAAGAGTATGCTGCATCACATGAAACAACTTTATGATCAATAAGCACTATTTTTTTTTTACTTCTCTTTCCCTTTTTTTCTTTTTGTTTTTTTGTGGATAACACCAGGTACATCGAAGAAATGATCCTGTGGTTTCCTACGTCGCCACCAAGCAAGTGCAATTGCAGGGGCAGCAAACAGCAGAGCAGCACCGGCAGCAACCCCCCCAGCAATAGCTCCAGTAGCACTGTTACCTAATAGTAAAACAGTAGAAAAATATGGATATGTTCAGTTATTTCTGTTTGTGAGCAGAATGATCCAATTTTCAACTAAGCGCCACCCTAGCAAGAGTAGGCAATTAGTGAAATTGAAATGTTTCGTCCTCTTTGACTTGGGAGAGAGAAAGATCAGGTGAAAAAAGTTTTCATGCTCATTTGGAGACTTGAAACTGTGGCACGTCAAAACCATCAAAATTCACAATTGAATCCCAGCATCTTTATATTTTCAACTCCAAAGTGGACAACATTAATTATGCAATTTAAACACAAACTATAAATTCCCATAGCAAATTATATAAAGTCCAACAGTCTGCACGTCTCAGAGAGCTGATAAAATTAAAGAACCCATCCATGGCAGGCTGAGATGCCAGATGTGCATGACACTTTCAATCTGATTTTCACAAAAGCATCATTGCTCGTGACTGTTTCTATGTATAATATTTATTTTGAGAAGATGGAAAGTAGGTCAATAAATTGTAATAATACAGGCCAATATATCACTATATGAATTTATCAGGTTAAAATGAACGATTTTGGGAAGAAGAAAGAAAAAAGAATATTACAGTAAAAAACACAGAGTGCTTGGGGGACAAGGATGGATTCCACTGTCAATCAAGAACTGGTTATTAGAAATTGATGTAATCACAAACCTGATGGACCAGGTGCTGATGGTGGAATGGAAGGAGGCGGAGACATTGGAAGATCATTAAGCTTATTGTTTTGAAAACTGCAAAAATTAAATATTAAAGTTAGCAAATCATTCAACAAAACTTCAGGTCACTGTATTTCCAACACTACTCAGCAGGAGCATTCACTTGTAACAAACCTGATGGGAGTGAAAAGTGAAAAGGATCCATTGACAGGAATATCTCCCGTAAGGTTATTGTTTGAAAGATCCCTACATTTCACATGGGAAAATAATTGTCAAATTCTAGCAAAATATAATGCTAGAGGACATTGAGGCAAAGGGAAAACTATTTAATGTGGCGAAAAATTATGATATTAGCATAACACTCACAGAACTTGCAGTGACATAACAGCAGTTAATGACCGAGGAATTTCTCCAGACAAACTATTGTTGTTGAGACGCCTATTCAAGAAAACCAAAAGCTGTCATTTCCAGATAACCAAAATCATATTGAAGCAATACCAATAACCAGACATGTCAAAACGAAAAGCATGTTAATGTATGCATATCAACAGTTCACACAATAAGAGATGGAAAGCCCACTGCACAGTGCCAATAATTTCCTCAAGGACTAAATTATACTTTAGTCACTGGGACCACTAGGTAACGAACAACCTCCAGCAAGAAACAACAATTGACTAATCAGAAACTCATTTTCCAGACAAATCATGAATGAGGTAGGAACAGAAGACACTGAAGATAGGTTATGAGTTACAAGCATGAGTAACAATCATAAGACCAGAATTTAGGGGAAAGGATAACTAAATTTAAGGTCAAATTTATACAGAGCCTAACTGATCATAGTACATCTTCAATGCAACACTGTCCCAGCCTAGAGTTCCAATCTCAAACTAGAGTATGTTACTATTGTTCTTATCAACCTTTCTGTGTGGAGTGACCACTCAAAAGACAGCCATTTAAAGTACGTGTGCTTGGCAAATGAAAACTTTTACACGTTGCACTAGACTCCTATAAAAGTGGTGGAAGAAGCTTTACACAATGCTCAATGATTAAATAGAATTAATATTTATGCTTTTTCAGAAAGAAAGAAATTTTGAATCCACAAATATCACATCTTAACTCAAAATGTCTGTTCACATCATTTTAGTGATTTTATGATTGACTTTTGATACAGTGCCTTTTTTGGCCTATGATGTAGTTCATGTATTTGGTTCCAACTTTACTAAATATCTTATGCTTTTCCTCAACCTTGTTGTTGCTCTACTAAGCCTCATTACTTACAACAAGAACTTGCAACTTGGGACATCCTACTCTCTTCTTCCTTCACATAAGAGAGATTTAAAAAGCAACAAATCAACTGACTGTCATTAAGTATTATTTCTACACTACCATACTACAAATAAAGGCCAGTTTAGCTTCAATATCATTATTAGTAACAAAATCTCATTCAAACCCAAATTTCCAGAAACAGAAATGATACTCAAACCCTCATTTTTCCTCTTCGTTACATGACTATATTGGACAAATAAAAAATACAAATAATACTAGGGAGAACATAGGAATAATGCTTTAAGAATCAGGGTTAGTTTTTTATAAAGTTCAAGCCTAGAACACTCGTGATCCAATGTACAAACATCATTTGTATGAACTTATGTAATGGTGCTAGACAGGTGCAATGCATGTAATCCTATAAAGTTTCATTCATTCTGAACTAGTCATTGAAACGTATTTCTGCAACATGTCTATTAATAACAATTCTGACTGAATCCACTGGATGCAGCTACATTTTCCTAGTTTCTTTGATTATTAGTAGTTTTTAAAATACTTTCCTTTTTCTATTCTGAGGCTCTTCTACGACAATTGATAGATGTGATTTTCATCATTTCAGGTAGGGACTTTCATATCAGTTGTCCTTTTAGCACATTAGTATTTCAACAAATTGGGAGTCAAGTTGTGAAAATAATCTTGGGTTATTAATTGATACAGGTTAAGTTTTTTCCATTAAAATTCCTATTCTCGGTTTTAGGAATCCTTACCTTATTAGGTTCAGTAAAATAAGGCAATATATACCCAAAAACTTTGGTATTTTCACATACATTGATCAACAAAATATTCAATTGTTTAGTTTATTGTTGAAGAAAGGACGGTTGACATCTTTTTGCTCTCTTCCTTCTCTTATTTTTCCTATTTCTTCATCATGTTCTTTCTTGTCCTTGCCTCTTTCCTTTCGATTTCTTCTTTCTACAACCCCAAAACTCTTGTAGCAATTGTTATTGTTCAAGCACACTTCAGAGGTTCTGTTCATGGCACTGTTCAAAATACTAAGAAAACTCCTATATCTACTTTTATTACATTAATATAACAATTTTAGTTGTAGGTCGTCCTACAACTGCTGAACCATGACAATATTACCCTTCCACTTTTTCTCTCTATCTCTCTTGTTTCCCTCACCCAAAAACTAATATGTGTATGATCAAGTAAAATTACTTAAAAACACAAATTATCTATCTTGAGCCTTTTTGTCCTTACTAAAGTAACAAAATTACTTAAAAAAAGGGATCGTTCCCCAAGCAATTAATTTGATACATCTAAAATTTCCATCCTTCAACCTAAGTTCAACCCTTCTTTGCAAAACAAGCAAAACAAGTAAAACCAGAGTATTGAATAACTAACTTTACTGGGCCAACTGTATCGCTAAAACTGGTAAATTAATTAATATCAGGGCTCATGCAATCTTTTGCTATTCTGAAAATAATATTGTTACAAATATTACATTGAATGTTATCCATAATGATGTTGCACAATTTTGATGTTTAACATTACAAAACCAAAATGTATACTACTGCCTACTATGACCCTATAAAACTGTTCCTGGATGAAATACCATACGTTCCCTACATTACCCACCATGTAGATCAGGTTAAGTTTGGGTTTTTGACTAATAAAATAAATTCGATAAAACATCATGCTTCCAATTTTACTAAGAGCAACTCAAATATATATTATTCCTAAACATCAGATGCTTCATCATATTTTGAACTCAACTAATATAATTTAATGCTTCTTAAGGACACCTGGTATAGATATCTTGATAATCTAGCTTAAAGGTAACATATTTTTAAGATCTAAAGATCACCAAGTTTGACATAGGAACCCAACAGGTTGCAACTTTCAACATGTATTACACAACAAAAGATTTGAATCCCTAATTACTAGATGTAATGCAGAGAATATGTTTAGCAATAAGAACTCCAGCCACTTGTATCCAAATCAAGCTTTCAAAAACATGAGAATTCTAAAGGAAACCAACTATCTATAAATTATTCTATCATAAAAAGACAAATCAACACCAATAGATTTTCAGAAGTGCCATATTTAGAAAATACCAGTGAGGCTATGTCTTCTAAAACTATTGTGTGCTTTAGCTCTGCAAATTATACTTCAGAAACTTTTCTTTTTTTCCAAATTGTTGCACCAGAAATACAATACAGTCCATTCAACAATAAATTGGCTGATAAAATTATCAAACTGTACAAGCCATCTCCATTGACACTAAAATGCTGAATAAATAAAGCAACATGAGATATGCAGAAAAAAAAAAAATATAATGAGAAAGATATGTGCTCATACAGGAACCGTAGTTTTGCAAGCTTGCCCAATGTTGGTGGAATGGGACCATTTAATTTGTTCAAGTACAGATCCAAGCTCACCAAGTTTGTCAAGTTTCCAAGCTCTTCTGGAATTCTTCCACTTATGTTATTACTATAAAGTTCCCTGCATAGAAATTTGATTCAATAATTCAAGAAAAAGTGGAGTTAAGGGAAACAAGAAGCTCAATAGAAACACATAAAACTACTATTAGTCTGTTACTAATATCTACCACTTGGCAACACCACTTTTGTAGGTTATACAACTGAAAATCTTCAAAATGTACAAGCATAAAACAAACTTTCGCAACTAAATATGAAGAAAAAAATTGGAATATTCTTATATCCTTTTAGAGCCAATATTATAAAGCATCATTTGGTCAAGACACTAATTTAAATACAATAAAAGCATTCGAGGGGCTATAAAACATTTCTTGTACATGGCTCATACAATATGAAGTTTGGAACAATACTCCCACCCATAAAAACATTGTTAGTTCAGAAAAACCCTACCCACAGTATTATTATGATCTTGAGCTATTACTATCCTATAGAGGTTATAGATATACAACAATGAGCATTCTAGCTTTCACAGATGACCTCGCTAAATTCATCAAACTAAATATTGTACTCAGAAAGTCAAGTCCATATCGCACTTGTAGGAGCAAGCCTTGATGTCAACATGGAAAATAGCAAGCAAAGCTGTTCTTATTAATACCAACTTTAGTTACAAAAATCAGAAAGTGTTTAGTGCTAGCAAGTATTGTTCTCAAGTGAGATATGACTTACAAATACTGTAAATTTGGAAGTTGACCCAGCTGTGAAACCAGTTGACCAGACAGATTTGCATTGCCAAGATCACTAGAAGAACACAAACGAAGAACAAGGTCATCATAATTGCAAAAATTATATTAGAAAGAAAATTCATTTCCAAATACCAAGTAATATAAATAAACTTACACACGCGTCACACTATTTTCACTATTACATGTGACATGAAACCAAGTGCAGGGATTGACAAGAGTAGGATCCCAACTCTGAAGAACGTTGTTAGGATCAGCTAAATTTGTCTTCAACGCATTCAGAGCATCACCTGTCAAATTTCAATACTTTTAAACTAACACAATTTTTCTACTCAACAGAAATTTCCCAGTCAACCCATTCTCAAAATCTTCAAAATAGCTACTATGTTGCCACTTAATTCTTCTAAGATTTAAACAGCAGCAATAAAAATGAAATAATTTCAAGAAATTAACTTATTTACTAAGTCAATTTTGCAACTCAACAGAAATTTCCAAGTCAAAATATACATTGACACTCAAAATCTTCAAAATAGCTACTATGTCTTAGCTTAATTTTGTTAAAATTTAAACAGAAGCAATTTCAAGAAAAGCACTTATTTCCTAAGTCAACACAAGTAAATCACCGAATAGCAAAAATCAACACATACCTTCGGCATTAGAACTAACTCTCAAAACCAAATAAAAAACAATTATTGACCACAAAAACGCCCAAAACGCACTGTTCGATTTCACCATTTCTAATTTTGTTGGACTACAATTTCAAAATCTCCATCGAAAAAAAAAAGGTAAGAAACTCGAAATTCAAAAGCACNATATATATATATATATATATACCGATTTTGTTAATAATACATTGGTGTTAAAATTAAAAAATAGTTTAGATTAATAAGTGAAAATCTTACTAAATCTAATAGGGATTAAGATAGATTATGTTTATATGAGCAACATGGTTTTATTCTTCCTTTGCAATGCCATTCACAACATCTTAAATAATAATAATGTTATACTTACAACTCAGTCATACAATCGGGCAAATTAAAAACATAGAATAAAATAATAATTTTACATGAATTTTGTAAAAATTTTGCCTAGTTGTAATAATTATAAGCATAGAAATTATTCCTTAAATAAACCCTAAACTAACATAATTCAATAAATATTATAAAACCCCTAACAATTATAAATCCCCATAAAATCCTACTAGGGCTAATCAATTACTACTAATCCACCAACTTCATGCTTCTCCTTTTTAGAACCTGCAGAACTAACAAACATAATCCTGCGTCCAAACTGGAGGTTGTCGCTTCCTTCTTGGATATCTTCTTATATTTCTTGCCACATTCACTTAGGGATCCTCTGAGTTCCTAACATTGCCCACCCCTTCAGAATAAACCTTGTCCTCAAGGTTGCTGGAGATGGTACCATAAAGTGCAGCGAAGTCATCAGCATCCACACAAGACGTCTCTTCTAAAGTCAACCCTGGCCATTGGACCAAACATTGGGAAACTAACACCCCATTGCGATTGAGCTGGTGTGTGCCCACTATGGTGAGTGGAGAAACCTACCGTTAGCCGTGATATACCAAAGGTGGAAGAGAGGTAGCCAAAACAAGTGGAATACCGTGACAGGGCTTAAGTAAGGAAACATGAAAAACAAGACGAATCTTGGAATTCAAAGGCAACTCAAGTCGGTAAGCAGCCTTCCCAATTTTCTGTAAAATCATAAACGACTTATAATACTTGCGACCAAGCTTTGTATAACCATCCCTGCGCAACGAGACTTGTTTATAAGGCCTGAGCTTGAGATAAATGGACTACCCCACCTGGAAGTCCTTTGACCGACAATGTTTGTCAGCCTTGCGAACCATGCGCCGCTAAGCCTTGGCCAAGTTTTCCTTCAACTCCTTAAGAACCATATCACAATTACTGAGCTCGTGATCAACAGCCTCTAAGTTGGATCCTCGTGGAACGTATAACTGTTGAAAAATGTACCTATTTTGGTGCATGCAAACATGACTCAAGTTGAAGAAACAAAGAAGAAACGAGGAAGTGCAAACATGGCTCAAGTTGAAGACACATAGAAGAAACGAGGAAGAAGTAAACGCATGTCGCGACACAAACATGTCTTGATGAAGAAAAGAAAAAAAAGGAAGCTACAGCAAAATGGTTAAGAAGACAAAACGACTGATCGTTGCAGCGATAGAAAGCATCGCCACAGTGATGACGGTCCCTGCAGCGACAAAAATGGTCACTGCAGCAAGCGTTGAGAAGCAACGCTGAATGTGAAAAAGAACGACAGTCGCGACGAAGGAAATGGTGGCCGTGGCGAGCGTCCTGGATCGCAGAATTCCAGTTTTATTTACCTTCCTATTTTGTAAGTATTCTTGTTTTAGAATAACTCTTATCCAGTAAGAGATTTGGTTGAGTTGAATTAGGGATGTAGAACTTGATTAGGAATATTATTTCATAGGAGTTTTGTTTGTGTTTAACTAGGAAAGTATAGGAGTTCTATTTGTGTTTAACTAGGAAAGTAGATTTTGTTTTGAAGTAGAAGTAGTATTTCTTTTCTTGTATAAAAGAAGTTAAACATTGATGAATTAAGTATGAGAGTTCATTGTTTTTCTTCGGTAAAAGTGTTAAGTCTATTGCTCCCAATCCCAACAATTGGTATCAAAGTGGAGTTTTCTTAAGGGATCTATGGAAGGGTTCTTAAGAGGGAGAGAAGAGAATCTGAAGAAAAGATGGATCCATCATTCTGAATGTCGTCGATTCCTATATTTACAGTAATTTCTACCATATTTGGAAGGTGAAGATGCAGGGGTTTCGACAGGCTGCTGATTTGTGGGAAGTCACCAAGACAAGAAGAGACTTTCAAGAACTGCCAAAGGATCCAACGATAGCTCAAATGGAGTTACAAAGGCAACAGATAGGAAGAGAGCGAGGGCTCTGTCATACCTACAATCGGCTGTGACCGAAGACATCTTTATGAAGATTATTTCTTGCACTACTGCTAAGGAGATTTGGGATAAGTTGCAGATAAAGTATCAAGGTTTTGTGAAGACAAGGAACATGAAGATTGTCACATTAAAGTGGCAGCTTGACAATATGAGGATGTTAGAGATGGAGAGTGTATCATAATATTCTAACAGACTAATGAAGAATGTGAATGAAATCAAAATCTTGGGCAAAATCCTTCCAGAGGAGAGGTTAGTTGAAAAATTTTTGGTAAGTGTGCTAGAAAAGTTTGAATCCAAGATTTCGTCTCTCGAAGATTCAAGGGATATTAAATCAATGTCAATGGCTGACTTGATAAGTGCTCTTGAAGCACAAGAACAAAGAAGGAAGATGAGAGATGAGAATGGGCCAGCAGTTGCTCTACGAACGAAGGCTCAGATTTCAGGAAAAGGTCAGACATATGGAAATAGAAGAAGTCAAGCTTTTTGCAATCATTGCAAAAAGAACAATCATTCAGAGGATGATTGTTGGTACAAGAATAAGCCAAACACATGCTGGTTTTGTAATAAACTGAGTCACCTTTAGAGAGATTGTGATCAAAAGAAAAAGAATCAACAACAAGAGCAAACTAATGAACCACAGCAAAAGCAAACGTTGCGAAAGAAGAAGATGATGGAGAAGAAGAATTGTTGTTCACTACCATGATTATGGATGCTAAGGAGCAAAACGATTCATGGTTTATTGACAGCAAATGTACTTAACACATGATTGGAAAGAAGGAGATGTTCACTAAATTGGAGGACATGAAAGGAATGGTGAGATTGGGTATTGGAGACAAAGTGTCAATCAAAGGAAAATGTACCATTGTTGTCTCAACATTAAAAGGTCTGAAATTAATTTCAGATGTTCTTCTTGTACCTGATTTAAATCATAATTTGCTAAGTATTGGACAAATGATGCAAAAAGGTTATGTGTTTGAGTTTCAAATAATGTGTGCAAAATAAAAGACTCTAGTGGAGTTGAGTTTATAAATGTGCCCATGAGAAATAGAAGTTTTGTAATGGATTGGAGTACTATGAATGTTGAAGCCCTTAGAAGTAAGGAGGAGAAAGTATCGATGTTCCCAATCATAAGGTCATAGATAAAGCATATGGTAGTTGCCAAGTAGGAAGGCAACATAGATTGACTTCTCTAAGTTCTACAACATGGAGAAGAGAAAAAGATCCTCAACAAAATGAAGGGGTAGATGATGTGGGAGCAAAAGGAATGAGGTCTCTTAAGGAGATTGATCAAAGTTGTAATATCGCCATGTTAGAACCAATTAAGGAGGACTATCATTCGAGTCAAGAAGCAAAGAAATCAAAGGAAGTGAAAAAGAAGTATGGTGGCTCCAAATTTCAAGTAACGGAAATGTCAAAGAACTTGCGTGGAAAGAGCACCAAAAAGGTTCAAGGAGGAGTGTTGAAAAATGAACCTATTTTGGTGCATGCAAACATGGCTCAAGTTGAAGAAACAAAGAAGAAACGAGGAAGTGCAAACATGGCTCAAGTTGAAGACACAAAGAAGAAGCGAGGAAGAAGTAAACGCATGTTGAGACACAAACATGTCTTGATGAAGAAAAGAAAGAAAGGAAGTTGTAGCAAAATAGTTAAGAAAACAGGACGATTGATCACTACAGCGATAGAAAGCATCACTATAGAGATGACAGTCGTTACAGCAAGCATTGAGAAGCAACGCTAAATGTGAAAAAGAACGACAGCCATAGCGAAGGAAATGGTGGTCACGGCAAGCGTCCTGGATCATAGAATTCCAGTTTTATTTACTTTCCTGTTTTGTAAGTATTCTTGTTTTAGAATAACTCTTATTCAGTAAGAGATTTGGTTAAGTTTAATTAGGGAAGTAGAACTTGATTAGGAATATTATTTCATAGGAGTTTTATTTGTGTTTAGCTAGGAAAATATAGGAGTTATGTTTGTGTTTAACTAGGAAAGTAGATTTCGTTTTGAAGTAGAAGTAGTATTTCTTTTCTTGCATAAAAGAAGTTAAACACTGATGAATTAAGTATGAGAGTTCATTGTTTTTCTTCAGTAAAAGTGTTAAGTCTGTTGCTCCCAATTCCAACAATTGGTACCAAAGTGGAGTTTTCTTAAAGGATTTGTGGAAGGGTTCTTAAGAGGGAGAGAAGAGAATCTGAAGAGAAGATAGCTCTATCATGCTCAATGTTGCCGATTCCTATATTTACAGGTAATCTCTACCATATTTGGAAGGTGAAGATGTAGAGGTTTCTATGCTTGAGGGTAGTGTCGTTGAGCTTAAATAGTTCCTGTCAAAACCTGCTCAAGAAGACAAGACACCAATCACTAAGTATAGTCTTCGGCAGACCATGTAACTTGTAGATCATATGGACAAATAGGGCAACCACTTTCATAGCTGTAAAACCAGTATGCAACGATTTGAAATGAGCATACTTGGTTGGCCTACCTACCACAATGAAAATGACCAAGAATCCGGAGGAAGGTGGTAGCCCAGTTTTGAAGTCCATCGAGATCACCTCCCAAATCTGAAGCAAAATGTTGATTGGCTGAAGAAGGCCCTCTGACAAACAGGATAAGCATTTAGTTTGACTATACACATGACAATGTTGAATATAAGGACTTGACATCCTTAGCCATCTACTGCCAATAAAAGTTAAGAGCCAACTTACTTAAGGTTTTCTGCACCCACCCTGGGTGACCTCCCAACGGGGTCACATGAAATACCACCAAAAACGCTTGCTCAATTTCCTCATCGTTGAGCACAACTAGACCTGGCAAAACGGGTTGGGATCCGCGGGTCGATCCCATACCTGGGTAAATTATATAGGTTATGGGTCTGTATTATTAAACCAGTTTTTTAAGACCCATACCCGGCCCTACCCGTTTTAAAAACGGGTAGGCCAGGTACACCCGTGGGTGCTCGTTTCTAATTTAAAGAAAAAAAGTTTTTCTCTTTCGTAGCATGTGAGCAGACGCCTACAAGCTACAACACCTTTTGTTTGCCTTCTCTCTCTCTCTCTCCAAACTTAACTTCTCTTCTATCCCATCAAACTTTTTCGCCTATCCCATCAAACTTTTTGGCAGGTAGAGTTGGCTAAATCTATTCACAAACTTCTCTTCTCTTGTTCATTCGTAGTCCGCCTCTTTCCTATCAAAATCATTCACAATCTCCATTCACCCAGCCCTTCTCACTTCTGGTTCATCAAGATAGGTTGTAGAGCAGCACATTTCCATTTCTTCAAATTGTTTTCTCTTCGTGTCTCTCAAGATTTCGAAGTTTTTAAGAATTTTTCTTTTTTGGGTTTGTTTTGTGTGGTTGAGTTTATGGGAAAGAATGAAAAACATTGTGTAATTTTGGAAACAAGTTTTCTTTTCTTTTTGTTTTTTTCAAGGATTTGAAGATTTTGAGGTTGTTCTTTTGTGGGTATTTGCTTTTGGGTTTGGGTTTGGTTTGAAGAATGGTGATAAAGATGATGAGGTGGTAGCCATGGCCGCCTCTTGTGAGTTGTGACGAAGAAGTACGAGGTGAAAATGGTGGTATAGAGGATGGAGGGGTAGGATCTGGCGTATGAGATTGCAGAGAAGAAGGAAGAAAAAAGAACAAAGATTTGCTATTGAGATTCGTTGGAAGGGTCCTAAAGTACTTTGAGAAGAAGGGTTAAGAGGAACTTCACTAGAAACGGGCACCCGCGGGTCCACCCGTACACGTGTAGGGTAGGGTAGGGTACGGGCCTAAAGTATTGAACCCATTTAAATTGACCCGTTTAAGACCCATACCTGTTTAGACCCGGACTATACCCGACCCACCAACCATACCTCCCTTACTATAGATGAGGATGTTATCAAAGAAGATGATGACAAATTTCCAGAGGTATGGCTGAAACACATCATTCATGGCTGATTGGGAGGTGGCAGGAGCATTTCATGAGGCCAAAAGGCATGACAACACATTCATAATGGTCGTCATAGGTACGGAAAGCAATCTTCGGAATGTTAGCTTCGGTCATACTAATTTGGTGTTTCCCAGAACGAAGATAAATCTTCGTTTCCTGCCACACTCACTTGAGGATCCTCCAAGTTCCTAAAAAAATCCTTCTAATAATTTTTTTTTTTTTTAGCATAAAATAAAAATAAGCCCTCCGAGTTTTCTCAAACAATAATGCTACGGATATAGAAGACTTACACCCCGAATGACGTGTCATGCAGCCACGTAGCATATTAACAAATATTCCGCGAATGAACGGCCGTCCATCAAATATGGACGAGCGTCCATGATTATTGGATAACCGTTCATTTTAAATGGACTCCCATCCATGAGAAAATAGCAATGGACTCATGTCCATATTATATGGATGGAAGTCCATTTACTATGGACAGACGTCCGTCCATAGTTTAAATTATTCAAAAACAAAAATTATGGACACCCGTCCATAAATTATGGACGGCGTCCCTATTAGATGGGCACCCGTCCATTGTTTAAATTAAAAAAAAATTACACAAAAATCATGGACGCTTGGGCATCCATTACCATGTCAATCATTTTCCCAACGCCATCTTGTTTTAAAAAAATAAAAATTCTGACAACTTACAAGGCCTAGAGGCTGCACTGTCAAAACTTCAACGAACCAGCTCCTCAACTCCCTGCTCCCCCAATCCATCTCCTTCAACACAAAACATTGCCACTTGTCTTCTTCACCCTCTCTCCATTTTCATCTCTTACTTTTTAAACATTAGCTGATATCACTAGACTACGTTTTCTGAGAATCGTTCGTTCTAGCTCTAGATCTATGCCTTTCTCTTTTGTTTTCTTTATGTTTGTATTTGAAAGTAAACAGAAATAGGAATTTAGAAGAAGAAAATAGGAGGAAACTATCGAGATGGTGATGAAAGAAAGAGACGAGGAGCTGGCTTTGTTTCTTGAAATGAGAAGACGAGAGAAGGAGAAAAGTAATCTTCTTCTTCTTCACAACTCTGACGACATCAATAGTAATAGTACTCCTCTAGGTCCTTGCTAGATTTTTTACTTTTGAAGATCATCCTAGTTTCAGTATGATCAAGTGTTTGTTTTTGTTACTTGACTAATTTGTTGATGTTGTATTGACCAACACCTAATAATGGAGGATCTCATATATCGAAGATTATGTCGTCTGTTCCGACTCGGAAGACCGTTGCTGATAATTTTTTGAATTCGAAGAATGATAAATCTGATTATGATTGGTAACGTTTCTATAATAATCTATTCCTTTGAATTAGAAACTCCATTATTATGATTAGCTGATTGCTTTGTTATGTAAATGTACTTAATATTAGTTAATTAACTCATGAGGGTTATTGTTTGTGTTTCCTTATTAGAACTAAAGCATTCAACCTTCTTTTCTCTGCTTTTCTGTTGAATAGTGTATTGATTGATTGTATGGCAATAGACGAGGGTCCATCTAATAGAGACGTCCGTCCATTAAATATGGACGTCCATCCATAATATATGGATAAACGTCCATGATTTTTGTATAAAATTTATTAATTTAAACAATGGACGGGCGTCCATCTAATAAGGGCGCTAGTTTATAATATATGGATGAGTGTCCAAGATTTTTGTTTTCTAATTTTTTTTAATTTAAATTATGGATGGACGTCCATTCTAGGTGGCGTCCGTCCAAAATAAATAGACTCCCATCTATATAATATGAATAAGAGTCCATTATTATTTTCTCATGGACGAGAGTCCATTTAAAAAGAATGGTTGTCTGATAATCATGGACTCCCATCCATATTTGATGAATCTTCAATGTAAATCTTCAGTGTCCATAGCATTATTGTTTCTCAAATATGTTATATGCGATCTTTAAAAAATGGTGTCTAGCCTTATAAAAATATATTAAATAATTCAATATAAAAGGTGTGGATGGCTTATTATAACCGCTCAACATGTATAAAAAATAAANTGATTTGCTTGATTTCAAAGTATATGTTGCTAAATATTGGACAAACAAAATAAAGACCTTATTTTCATATATTAGAAATGAACATGGATCTAATGGTGGAAGCCTGCGAGTTTCTTCACCAATGATTAGGCTGTAATTCTAAATTTTGCATAGAATAACTTTATTTTTTTGACGATTCTTCAATGAATTTGTCACAATCTAATTTCTCGGTTCATGTTATGACAATAGTGAATGAAGTTGGTTTTGTACAGATTTGATTCTTTGATGAAAATTTAACGCAGATACATGGGTTTGACATTTTTGTGATTGTAAAGGGCTCTGTTAATATTGTATTTCCATGATAGTTTCTGGAAAATATTGCCCTCTAGCTTAATACTAATGCTAAATTTACTCTGCATTCAGGCTTCTTACACCACCTGGTACCCCACTGTTTCCTTCTTTGGAGATGGAATCACAGAAAACCAAAATGAGTCAAATTGGGATGTCTAATGCTCGTCCAACTGCTTTGAAATCAAGGGTAAGAACCTTTACTTTATGTACTGTTTGCTTTCAAGCCTTGTCAATCAGTGTTATCTGATCATGTTTGCATATTTATTACGGTTTTTACACTTGTCAAGTTCTAGTGATATATGGCATTGTCTTTTTGTTGTACATGACTTGAAAATTGTAGTTTACAATTTGTCATAGCTTGTAAATTCATATTGCCTTGGTGTTGCAGCTACCTAATGTTCAGGAAGAACCTGCTTCAAGGAGTAACGTAGCATCTAAGAATCTGACCGTGCCATCTGGACTAGACTCTTCAGGTACTGGCAACAGAAGGCCATCATCATCTGGTGGTCGAACTTCTACTACTAGAGCTGCAACACCAACTGGGCGGCCAACTTTGACCACAATAGCTAAGCCTTCAAGATCCTCAACTCCTACTTCAAGGGCCACCTTGCCTTCCTCTAAACCGGCTGCTCCTGCAGTGAGATCCTCAACTCCTGCTAGATCCTCAACTCCTACTGTGAGATCCTCAACTCCTGCTAGATCCACTGCACGCTCTTCAACACCAACTGCTAGGCCCACTGTAGCGGCTCCTAAACCAGCACCAAGATCAGCAACTCCAACTTCTAGATCAACATCAAGATCAGCAACTCCAACTTCTAGATCAACATCAAGATCAGCAACACCAACTCGTCGACCATCAGCCCCTTCAAGTGCACCTAGTGTATCTGCTCCTCCTGTTCGATCTTCTTCAGTGTCAAAGTCAGGTTCCACAACTTCAAAAAATCCTGTTCCATCACGTGGCACTTCTCCAACAGTAAAATCTAGGCCTTGGAAACCCTCTGAGATGCCTGGTTTCTCACTTGATGCTCCACCGAATTTGAAGACATCATTGCCTGAACGGCCAGCTTCAGCTTCTCGGGGCAGGCCAGTGGCAAAGAATAATCAACCGTCTTCTATGGAGGCTAATTCTAATGGAAGACGCAGACAACAATCTTGCTCTCCTTCTAGAGTAAGGACTCCAAATGGTAGTGTCTATGGTAGTGGGAGTTCCATTCCTTTTGTGCGTAAAGCAAATGCTAGTAGTGGTGATGATGTGAATCCAGGACTAATGGGAACCAAAATGGTAGAAAGAGTGGTAAACATGAGGAAACTGGCACCACCAAAGCAAGGAAACAATGGCTTCAGCCATAGTAATTCTGCTGGGAAATCATCCTCATCCCTTGACAGCTCTGGCTTTGGAAGATCACTCTCAAAGAAATCCCTTGATATGGCTTTGCGTCACATGGTATGCTTTCTTTATAGCATTGACGCTTAAACAATGCTAGCTTGGGTTGATTAATAGGATCAATGGAATTATAATAGACAATTTGCTTCTAACTAACCATCATCTGAATCTTGATGAAAAAATATATTTCTTAGACCTATGCAGATAATATTCATTGCAACAGGTTCTTTCTCGTGCCATTTTTTGCTATTTGTCTCCATTGATTTTGCATATATGCTACTAAATAAATGCTTCTCAATATGCAGGATATAAGAAGAAGCACTCAAGGTAATCTGCGGCCTCTAATGACAAACATTCCAGCTTCTTCTATGTATAGTGTGAGATCTGGATCCACAAAAAGTACAACAATTAGTGTCTCAGATTCACCTCTTGCCACAAGGAGCAACGCGAGCTCCGAACCCAGTGTCAACAACAATTCCTTCTGTTTAGATGATATTGAAATGGAATGCAGCAATGATTTTGGAAGTGAAAGAGGAAACCCATCTCCTACGAGCCAGCGTGGTTGTAGGTAACGCATTTTCCGCTTTGTTATTTATAGGTGGAATGCTCAACCAACCTAATATGCTTAAGAAACAACCCGTTTCTGAAGTGGTAGATGTTGTACGGTGACTCGCCTTTTCTGTAAAATTTTGTTTAGAGAGTCTGTGGTTACATCATGCATGTTCTATTTCCAATATCGTTGCTACATTTTACAGCAGCAATCAGTTTAGATTCGGATGAAATGGATCATCATAACAACTGTTTCCGAGTAATGAAAACTATTTACTTGAAATGAGGACTGTTGCATAAGAACTGTGATCATTGGAAATTGATAAGCTCCTGCCTTTACTTTTATGTATTGAATTAGATGTTTTATCAAAACAACAGTGACAATTTTTTTTTTTTTTTTTTTTATCGGGGTGTTTGAATCAGTTTGCATACAATTTAGCTAATCTTTCGTAACTTTAAAGTTTGACTATTAGATAAACTCTTCGGTGAATATCTCTATAACTTATTAAACTATTTTTTACTCTTTTATTATTAAGTTAAACCGATAGTGGTTAACAACCGTGTTAATTCTTCCAGAATTTTCTATTGGTCTTTTCTTATTTTCCATTAACAAGTTATATAAACGTGGCCACAGCTTGACCTTTGCCGTCTGAGGAGCAGTTGTTAATTCGGCTAGGGAATTATTTTAATTGGTTTTGTTTTGGTGGATGTCAATGTGAATCGTGTAAGATTTATCAACCAATAATAATAATAATAATAAAATGCTATAGCCAACATTAGAAGAAATTGACTTACCCGCAGTCCCGCACTATCATTATATATATATATTTTTAAATCCTTTTTGTTGTAGGATTTGAGGTGCTACCTGAGCAGTTTCCTGAGTTAATGACTTTTTCCGTTCAAATAATAGTTGAATTACACTTTTCCACTTACACCGTTTTAAATCAATAATGCTACCAGCATTGATTTTTTGCACCGCACCAAAATTTGTTATCGAACCACGTGTCATTCAGTCTGATGTAGACATATTAGACAAAAAATATTTTTTTCATAAATAGATGGTTGTCTAACAATCATGAATGATCTTTTTATATTTTATGGACGATGATTTATCACAAATTGACGGTCATTATGGATATCTATTTAAGATAAATGCCCGTCCAGAAATTTTAAAAACAAAATGATCTTATATGACATCTGTTCAGAAAATTTAAAAAACAAAATAATTGATAAGCATCATTTAATACGGACGGACGGTCCTACACAAACAGTCTAAATCATCATTATGTTTATACATTTGCAAGGACTTTCTGCGCTCACAAAGGCTACCCACTTGCTCTATATTTCTTATCAATTTTTGTGTGGTCATTGTTATTAGTGAAATTTAATTGGTAAGTCCATACCAAAACAGGACCTTCTGCTTAATTTGACCTCTAAAAATAAGATTTGAATTTATGTTCAATTTGAAACACTTTTTTATCTGCCAGAGGAACTCTGTATCTAGACACTGCCTTGCCTTGTGTTGTGGCGCAAGAATGGTGACGCATTCCAGGTGACGTATTATATTGGAGCAAATCTCAAATGTGGGTTAAATTACTCTAGACGGTCGTCCATTGTCATCCATTGTATGCTCATCCATATTCACTCAATTTAGTTCATCCATTGTAAATGGATACTCGTTTATATTCACTCATTTTAGTTTTAAAATTTTTTAGATGGACGTTCATCTTATATGGACGTCTGTCCATAATAAATAGACATTCGTCTATATTATATGGACGAAGCCTATTGATATTTTTATAGACGCTCTTCCTTTGTGATGAACAGTCTTTCATAAAGTATGGACGGTCATTTGTGATTTTTGGACAACAGTTCATTCACGAGAAATGTGTTTTCTGTCCAATGTGTTCACGTCTTACTAGATGTCAAGTTGTTGAGTAAAAAAATTTAGTGAAAAATACAGTGTCCCTAGTATTATTCTTTTAAAATATCATTTTATTATCTGAATTTATATCTCGACTGTGAATAAATAACAAATTCGATTCAAGTTGTTAAAACTTTTGAAGAGGGGAGATCGATAAGTTTTTGATGGTAGAAAGTTATATTTTGGTGGTTTAGATTATTGAAATTTGACATGGAAGGGATGATTGTGTAAACCTTAATAGCTTGATTGTTAGCAATTGACGAGATCACAGGAGTAGAGTTTGAGGAATTTTATTAAATGATGATCGGCGAAAAAAATGATGATGATGTAGGGTTGTAGCGATATCAGAATCGGAAACGGAATATAAACTTAAATAATAAAATAATATTTTAAAAGTAATGTCTTTAAACTATTATTTGGGTGAGAAAAAATTGTTTACTTGATTAGTAAATATATTTAATCATTATAACCGACCAAGTTTGAACTTGTTATTTATTATGATTTTTTTTTTTTATTTGGTTGGTGTTTGGTAACAGGTAATTTCTTCCTTATACGCAAATATAATATGGAAATAGAGTAAAGTTTGATTTAATTAATTTTCTTTTCCTCGGATTATATTTTATTTAATCAAACCTCGTGAAATTATAATAGTTTAATGAAAGAATTTTAAGGCTGACCAAAATAAAATATAATGCAGACAATAGTTAGTTGAATTGGTCATCGACCACTTTGTATGTTTGGTTGGAAAAAAACAATAATAAAGCCACAAATATTTTGACCTTTTATTGTGAATGTCAAATAAAACAATTAATATAAAAGATCAAAGTCTAAAGACGACAAATAGACTATATAATTTGAAGAGAAACGACAGTGTGAATATCTGACTTCTTCTACCTCTAATTCTACAAATTCCACCTTCTTTGTATAATTAATATTTTATAAATTCTCAGTTTGTATCCACCATTGCTCTATTTAATTAAGGCTTTCTAATTTATATATTTTAATTAAAATTTAAACATTTTTATGTCATTTTACCCTTTATTATCTTAGGTTGTTTTTACTGAAATATATTCTAGATGCCTACAATTAGTTGAAAGTGAATGTTTTTTTAATTTATAAACTTTTATTGAAAAGATGATTTTTAAATATTTTAATGAATATAATGATGAATTTTGAATTAAATAGTTAAATAAAAAAAAAATATATTTCATTGGGTTGAATAGATAGGTTTGAAAAATGTAATGGGAGGATATTAATTAAAGAACAAGTCCACAAGTTTGAAGGGATTTAAGCATATTATTAATCTTCAAAAATATTATTTTTCTGAAAGTGAAATTTTATGAATTTATAAACGATTACTATAATAAAGAGTATGCAGTACTAATTAAATATTTTGAATTAGATGTATATATATATATAATATATAATATATAATAACATATAAAAGAAATATATTATTAAAATAATATTAGAGACATTGAAAAAAAAAAATTCATAATTATTAAAATAATAATAATAACCAGTCTCCTATTTGTAAAGACACTGAAGAAGAAGGAAAGAGAAGAATAGACGAGGGCCGCTGTGTCTTCCTTTCATACAGGAAATTAAATATGCCATTGTCACTATCATTTCACAAATAAATACCTTTCACTTTTTTCTTTTTTTTCTTTCTTTTTTTTTCCTGTTAATGGCAAACAAGGAACTTTCAACTACCCAGAGAAAAGAAAAAAAAGAAAGAAAAAACCCTGAAACACGTACTTTTTGGTCTCAACACTAAAAAGTTTTGTACCATATTTGTTTGGTGTAAATGGATCTTTATCTGTTAACACTGAAACACGTAAGTTTTTGGTCGTACAATTAAAGTCGAACATTATTTGTTTGTGAAATGGTTATTTTCTGTTATATTATCTCAACACTCAAATCTTTTCTTTCTGCTCACAATTTCTAAAATCTACCCATTACTCGGGTTAGGGTTTTAATTTCTACCTTTGTTATACTGTTATGAACCTTTACTTATTTAGTGTTAAATGTGCTTTGGCTGATAATTAATTTAAGATGAGGTTTTAACGTTTGGCTGTTTAGGCATTCTCGAACTTGTTGCAATGAGTTTTATTTGCTTCGGTGTCTTGATCGTGCAAAAAGGTACTCAAAAACAGGTACAAGGTGAGAAAATTTAGAATGAAACTATTTTATGCTGTTAATTATTTATATCTCAAATTGCTCATGAAATCATTATGATTGATGTTGAATGTTTAACTTAATTTATTTAGGTGTGGATTTTTATTGATGAATTATTGTACCTTCAAGGTTCTTACCGTTGATTTGTTTTACTTCATTCATGGTTAGAAATCTCCACCACAATGTAAGGGTCTTTTCTTTCAACCATTGCGACAGCAACTGGGGTTTCCATCCATACACAGAATCGGTGAGGTGGTTTTGGAGTTGTTTACAGAGTGAGACAAATGAGCTATGTTGTATTTGTTATAAGTTATTGTAATAAGTTTTGGCCGAAGCCGAAAAGTTTGAATTTTTTTTTTTTTTTTTTTTTTTTTTTTTTTTTTTTTTTTAATTGCAGGGAGTTTTGAAAGATGGTACCCAAGTAGCTATCAAGTGTCTTATCTACAGAGCTAGCAAGGAACAGATGAATTCTTGACAGAGATCAACATGATATCAAATACTCGTCATCCAAATCTTGTTGAGCTCGTTGGTTGTTGTGTTGAGAACAATAATAGAATATTGGTCTATGAATATCTGGAGAACAACAGCCTTGCAAGAGTTTTGTTAGGTGAGTATTGCCTTTCTTCCAATTTGGGGTCTTTTGTAGAGCTTATAAAAGTTGTTGGTTCTGTCGAGAAGCTTTTTTTGATTTTTTCAAGAGTTTTACTTGTTTGCTTGTTTGGTTAGTGTTTATGACTGTTGGGATTTAGGTAATCTTTCAAGTTTATAGGATAATCTAATGTCCAGCGATTATCACTTCAGGTTCAAAAAGTACGCATGTTGCTCTGGACTGGCCTACAAGAGTTAATATCTGCCTTGGTACAGCTTCTGGTCTTCAATTTCTTCATGAGGAAGCTGAGCCACATATCGTCCATAGAGATATTAAAGCTAGTAATATACTTCTTGATGGCAACTTTCGACCTAAAATCGGAGATTTTGGGCTGGCAAAACTTTTTCCAGACAATGTAACACATGTTAGTACCCGAGTGGCAGGAACAATGTAAGCATGACATTATTGGATTTCACTTTATCATTGACCTGCCTTTGCTATTTATCTCCTTCAAAATTTGTAATATAGCTGCTTTAACTGTTATTCTAAATGTTCATGGATGGTAATTTTATCATTTTGAATCCTCTTTGCTGTGAGTATAACATTTTCCGAAATTCTGTATCATTAAGAAGTAATTGAGTAGCTAAGATTCAGAATTTAGCAAGTGTCTCTTAAAAGGTCTTACAAATAATTCCGAAGAAAGTAGTTATTAAAACATTGAATTGCATGCCTATGCTCTTGCAGTCTGTCTCATTCTTGTGAAGATAACTTTTCAAATTAAAATCAGTGCCGTGCATCATATATATCTATAATCCTTGGAAGCACACTGTACTTTCTAATTTTATTAAATCGTTATTGAATATTCAGATTTGGTTTTAGGCTTTTATAAAAGCTGCTTCAATGAGGTTGAAATTTTTGCAGTTGTCTTGTGGTCATGGTCCTCATGGATGACTATGCACTTATAATATTTAACCACCCCTTCAAACAGATAAAGGTTGCTTGTACATAACCTGAACTACCAGGTAAATTAATAAAAATCAGATGGTTAAGAGCTTGTAAAAGATGCTGGCAACGAGCAACTGATTGAAGTGAAAAAAATTTAACCATAGGTTATGGAGTTATGGTTGAGAGAAGTAGATCCTAATTCATAGAAATCTTCTCCTATAATTCGGGATGAGATTAGCATACAGCAGGGAGCAAAGGAATGGGAGTAGTAAAATTTTATATAGAGCATCTACATCATGTGTAAAACCCTTTGTATTTTCTTTTTTACATATTTTTAAAAAAATTTGATGTCTTTCATGCTGTAACATATTCCTATGCTTCGTTAATTTAGTGGTCTTTTCCTGGCTATTTTTGCTGCTTCTTTGCCTCTTAGTAATGTTCTTCGTGCAGAGGATATTTGGCCCCAGAGTATGCCCTCTTAGGACAACTTACAAAGAAGGCAGATGTATACAGTTTTGGGGTGCTTTTACTTGAAGTAATTAGCGGTAGTAGTAGTAGTAAGGCAGCATTTGGACAGGATTTTTTGCTTCTTCTTGAATGGGTATCTCTCTAGACCTTATTCATTATTTACACTTTATTTCACCATTCTAGATGATTAGATATAATTTTTTTCTATAATTTACCTGTTGAAGAAGATGTTCCCTTTATTGTACTGCTGCGGGTGGTGCACTATTTATTTAAGTCCCAGGCTGAATGTATCAAGATATGCAAGACATTGATGGCCTATTGACTGTACCTTAGTATGGCATTCAATTTAGTCAGGCATGTAATCTTATTTTAGTCGGGCATGTAATTTTATTTAGGTTTCTTCTAACTGAAGGTTCATTATTTTTCAATGAAGGAGTCAACCCTTAGATATACTTTGGGGATATTACAGATGGTCCTTTTATTCTGAAATGATGGTCAATCTCTATCTTGTGTCTGCTTGATTTTGCCAAAGCTGACATTCGTTTGCTCAAGTATTTGCAGAAGCTAATGAATGTGTGATTACTAAAATTTTTATTCATTTTGCAGACGTGGAAACTGAGAGAAGAAGGCAGGCTTCTGGATATTGTCGACCCAGAACTGAGTCAATATCCAGAAAATGAGGTGGCGCGTTTCATCAAGGTTGCTCTATTTTGCACTCAAGCTGGTGCCAATCAAAGACCCACAATGAAGCAAGTGGTGGAGATGCTTTCCAAAGAAGTGAACCTTAATGAAAAGTTATTAACACGGCCTGGGGTCTTCAAGCTGCAAAACTCTCGACCCTTCGGTGGTAGTAGCTCAGAGGAGACTTCATCTTCTCAAAATAAAAAGGGCAAGCAATCTGCATAATTTTAATAGCGTAATACCCTCGACTCTACTCACTCAATCACTTGACTCTAATTGATGTCAATTTCTAACCATTATATGTATTGGATATATATATTTATATATTTTGGGCCTCCATAGTCTTTAGTTTCAGTGATAATACATGAAATTTGAGTTTCTCAATTTCTAACAAATATAGGGAGGTGGGGTGGGGGAAACGATGAGTCTTTAGCACATGGATACCTGATAAATTAATATATCTGAAGCATAGAGTTGGTATTTCAGTTCAGTGTACTAATTCTTTTTTATTGTCTTATTTATTTTTTTAGTAATGTTATTCTTATACATTTTTTTATCTCAAATTTTGTATTCCAAAGAGTATGGGTCAAAATAATGTGATAAAATAAGACAAATTTTATATCCATGTCATGCCAGAAAGAGGTTACCCACTTATGGTTAGCCCAATGGTAAAGGCGAACCAAGGGGGCTACAAATGGCCCAACCCATAGTCCCAAGTTCGATTCTCTCATTATCGCAAAGTTAGTACCTTTGTCATGATTTATCCGAGGGGCCATGATGGTAAGTTGTTGTGGGATAGCTGTCTTTGAAGATTAGTCGAGATGCGTATAAGTTGGTTTAAACACCTCTCTTATTAAAAAAAAAAAAAAAAGGCCGCTGGGCTTAGGCATTTATGATATATGAGAATCCTTAGAATAATCAGGGCAGGCTGGGCATTCAGCATGGGATCAAAGATGATATAACATTATGTTTCTTTAGTGTGTGAATTTCCTGGCTCATAAAAACCACGCAACCGGCCGGTCGGACCGGTTGGACCGGGAACCGGTAGCTTCTTGCTCCGTCGGTTTAGGTCTTAGGGGGGTTTTTGAAATATTTTAAAATTATGAGGGTTACTTTGTAATTTATAGGGGTATTTTGAAGATATATCAAAAGTTTAGAAATTAATTGGTAATTTTATGGGGCATTTTGAAATACCTAATTTTAGGGACCAATTTGAACTTTTTTAGGGGAATTTTTGTAGTATATTGAGATTTAAGCGGTTAATATATAATTTTTTAAAAATAAAATATTGCTGACGTCATCGGTTCAACCAACCGGTCCAACCGGTTGGACCGATTGAACCGTGACCCGGACAGCAAAACGGTTTGCCCTCCGGTCCGAGTTTTAAAACAATGTTTCCTGGCAAAGCGCTTAATTTTCCTTTTATACTTGTGGACAATAATCATCTAATCTAGTTACACAATAGCTAATGACATTTGTTTTGCTTAAGGCAGAGGCAGAGATATAAGACGAAAAACAAGTTCACTGCACAAAGTCACACCCAAACTTCAGCAAAATTGATACAGGATAACAAATCTTTCTACAAGAAAAATGCCACAAACCTCAACTAGCACATCACAAAGACTTGACTTCCAGACATCAATAAAGTTCAATATCATACCAAATAAACATCTCTGGACCATAGATAATTACTTTACATAAGATTCGGCAGGCTATATGGTATCTGTCAAGCTGCTGCTACAGCATCAGGAGGAGTAACGGTGGCTGCAGCTGCAGGCTTAGAGGAAGCAGCAGGAGGAGTACCTGTTTTAGCATCTTTTTTAGGTTCTGATGGTGGTGGTGGTGGTTTGGGCTTCATGTGAGCAGGAGGATTATGCTTGAGCTTTATAAGTATTTGACGCATCCTTGAAAGGTCAGTTGGCTTTCCAGGCTTAGGTCCCTGAATCACAACAATGGAAGGCGGCTTCTTCTCCTGATCTTTCTTTCCCCTTCTCTCTATGGCTGGCACCTCATAGGGAATGAGTTCTGCAATTGCCTTCCAGCAAGTACTTAAAGCGTCAGCGTGAAACTTCTCCCGATTTGCCAAAAACATCTGACATATTACATCCAGGCACAGAAATTAGGGTATGTAAGATTTGCAAAGTAGATTAACACTTTCCATACTAATCTGTATGAATAATTAATACATTTATCCTGAAAACACACAACCTCATGATTCTTAGTTTTGCGGGTACTTTTTCTTCTTCAAGTCCTATTCTTCTGAGTTAACTTAATTGGAAGTTGAAACACCCTACTCTTTAATATAGCACATCAAAAATAAAGAAAAGTAGAACTCCCTCATTACATCATGTTTTATCATCTTCATAACATGCATTTTATGATACTTTCGAGTCAATAAGTTCACCAACCACCTTCAATGCAATGCCAGACTTAACAGCACATTCCCATTGCCTAAAAATTAAACTTCTAAGTCCACGGCAATAAAGGTACAAATAGGATAAAGAAGAATAACTGACAGGCACAATCAAACTATGTGCACTAGCAAACATACCAATGCTTGGCTAGGAAGAGAGGGAGATCAAATCAAGGAAATAAAATTCATATTAACAGAAATTACGGATTGGGATATAAGGATTATGTTTACATGCGCCCTAAATAGGAAAAGTTTTGAGTGAATTAATGAACATTTCGATTAATATCAACGATAATAGTCTTTCTTATCATATACCATTAGAGCACACATTAATTGACAACATTAACCTTAACTGTCATACACATGGGTCAAAAAAAGACATGTATAGTAAGTATTAACATAAAAAATAAAAACCTATATAGTATCCAGTTTTATCCCACCTTCTCCTTCTCCCTGTTAGAAGCTTTGTTTTTCTCAATAGCAAGGGCACGCTTCTTATAGAACTCAACTTTGTACTGCTCTGCTTCCTCAATAATTTCTTGTAGCATCTCTTTCTCCTTCTTCTCCTTCTCCTCAAGTCTTATCGCATTTTGTCTGCACATCCCCCACAACCAATTACACAAAAAATCAGCTCAGATCAATATTTATATAGAAACAAATACACATAGTTCAAAAACAATAGAAGGTAGCTGATAGAAAGATAAAACTCTAAAAATTTGCCTGAAAATTAATGAAATTAAACCAACAATACCATGACATGGGGATATGGCAAAGTTGCAATGTAAAAAAAGAAAAAAAGAAAAATTATGATTTGCGGTTCTGATTCTTGATGCCAGACCAACAATGACCATTGGATCTCCCTAATGTTTATTAACTATTTGACCATTAGGGAGATCCAATAGTAGCCATAGCTAGTCAATAATGTTACCGGAACAGCAAGTTAACACCTCCCCTATCTTCTAAACAGATTGATTTTATTCTCACAAACTAAGCAATAAATATAGTTTAATATAATAATATTTACTTCCACAACTAAAACGGCGCCTTTAAAACTTGTGGATACCCGCAACATTACTTGGATTTACTTTACCGTAACATAGTACTTCAACACAACAAGTACAACAAAAACTTAGCAAAACAAGGACTGATTTCATAAATATCGACGAAGTTATATAAGTGAAATCGCCAACTCACCTACGCCACTCTCTGAGAGCAAAGCCCTCCTCTGGAGGCATCTCGACCGGTGGTGGCAAGATCGAATCGTCCAGTCCACCTAGACCTCCATGAAAAGTCTTACTGTTTTGCTCCGGTGAGAAAGTTGCGAATCCGCCACCAGCAGAGTAGATTGACGGCGGCGATGGAGTATCCGGAACGGGATTCGAAGAAAACATTTCGTCTCCGACGCCGTACGACTGGCTAGTGAATATTGGCGACGAGTCACCGGCCGATTCCTTGACGGAGTCGGCGTCGAAGTTGGAGAACGATGGGTCGAATCTCTGAGAAGAAAGGCGAGGATCGTAGCCAATGAAGCCGTCGTCATCGAAGGGCCGAGTCGAACCGCTGAGTTGTGACTCGTCACCGAAAGATCCGGTGAACGATGCCATGGTTATGACACTGACCCCTGGCGATCTCTCCGCCAAATGTTTCGGTGAAGACCGAAGAATAAAATCACTCGCTGTCTTTTAAACAAAATTCCAAGTGATTAGTTAGGTGCATGCAAAATCACTGCTACTGCAGACGTGTCAGATCGTAACTGGTTTTTTTACTATGTTAGCGAATGAAGTGAAGACATGTCATCAGGTAGCATGGAATCTATTGTTTCTGATGTTTAACTGATTTAGACAGCACCACCTTTTGCTTAACTGTCCCCACCACCTCGAATATTCATCATCAATTGCGTGACGGGAGGTTCCAGAACGGGGAATCCTACGGCCTGAGAGATGTTTGTGTGTGGTTAGGGAAGATTGCTTCTGATAGTCACGCACTTGTGATTTGTGTAAATATTCTGTGGGTCCAACTTACGAGGTTGTTGGCTGATTTTTTTTTAATTTATGTTTCACAGTTTTTTGTGTGTCAACCAATCACATCGCTTCATTTTCAGCTACGTGATCAAATTTAATTTGATCAATTATGAATTTATGATAATTAAAATAATAAAATTTCATAGATGTCTTTTTTGTAGCAATAAATGTTCCTTTTTTAATTTTCTAATATTTATTTAAATGAATTCTTTAAACTTTTACAGCCTTTACTGGCAACGTTTATGTATATGTTTTCAACAATTAAAAAATAAAAGGTCAGTGATGAGTGATCATTGGAAGCGTTCACTGGTTGAGCTCATAGGTAATTATACTCCCAAACAGTGCTGCATACTTTACACGCAATTCTCCACAAAAATAAAATAATTAAGTAGTAATTTTAATAATAAAATACTTTTTTTTTTTTTTTTGGGTAAACATGATGTTTATGAAATTTTGATTGCTCTAGAGGATCTCTTCATGAGAGTGGAGAATTACCTTACAAAATTAGCTTTTAACTTTTTTTTTTTTATGTTCACGGTATCCGAGTCAACTTGTGCGCCCTTGACTAATCCCCAAGACTCATGAGAGTGGAGAATTAGTGTACAAAATAATGCTTTTAACTTTTCTTTTTTTTGTTGTAATCGAGGTATTCAGATGTGTATCTCATTTAATTTCAAGTTCATTGAATACCCTACAGGTCTAATGAGTCAAATATGTCATAGATCACCACTTAATAAGACTCGAACACAAGACATTTAAGTAACCTAAGAGCTTTACGGATTGTCATCCAACCATGAGCCATAAAGCCAAGTATGCTTTTTAAGTTTTTAGTACCTCCTTTGTACTTGGATTGGGCCTCTTCTTCATTGCCCTTAATGCTCCATTAGACATTAGTTGCTTTCTAATTTACCCACCAAAAAAAAAAAAAAAAAAAAAAGCAATCAATTTTAATGTTGGGTTGAAAATTAAAGTTATTATTTAGTTTATGAAAATCAATAAAATTCTCAATCCATATAACAGAATTATATTTAAAAACAAAAAAAATTAATTTCAAATGCTATTGCAAGAAAAAGGAAATCTAAAAGAAAGTGACGTTCAGTGAACCAATTAAATAATAACAACTGCTATACATTGAATTCTTTCTATCAAACCCTTGATGATAGAGTAAGATCAAAATTCTTATGGGTCCACCTTATCAGATTATTTCTTAATGTTTGAATTTTACAATTATAGTTACTTATAAGTCATAAGTTGCAATTAAAATATTAACAAAAATCAACCTTTAAGTTTTCAAAGGTTTTTATAAATTTCAAGGCCTTGCCCAAAAACAAGTAAATATTTCTTAGAATTGTTAAATATATACAAGATTACCAAAAACTCCTCTATAAAAAAAACCCATTAATATAGAGTATTAACAATTTTCGAAAAATTTAGAGCATTTAAAAGTTAATAGATCTGGAAAACGGTTAGTACCCTTCAAATTTTTTAATCTAAATAACTCGATAAATTTAACACATAAAAAGTTGATGCCATTAGAGATTTTTTTTTTTTTTTTTGTAGATGCCACATCATATTTGATTAGAGTTCGACTTATGTGAATAGATTGATTGGTTAGGAAAATATGAAACCACTTCATGCTTATGACTTCAAATAAATTCTTTTGACCAATAGATAAATCCAACCAAATATGCTTCAAACTTCCTTTTGTTGGTTTTATGGAAATATAATCCAATTACTTTATATTTTTCGAATAATCCTATAATCATCTAAACTTCAAAATGCTATTTTTAATAGATACTTGGCTTCACAATTATACTTATTTGATTGATATAGTAGTTTTATAATAAAACAAGTGTGTCCAAATAAAGTAAATTAAAAAAATGTCAACGAATTAATAAATAAGATTATCTTAAGCAAAAAATAAAAAATAAAAAATGAAGAAAACGTTTAGAGGAAAGAAAATGAAATTTAAAGGAGCATCCGATCAAACGGTTTAAAAGCAGCCGCTTCAAAATAATCCATTGATTGAGTGCCACGTGTAAGAGATGGTCCCACCTCATCACAAAGAGCATGCGCTTCTGCCTTTCTGCTGGAGGAATCCGTACCATTTAGGTATTTTCGTAAATTCAGACAAAACCAACACTATAAAATAAATAAACCTCCAACCCTTGGCCTATAAATACAGCCAGGCCACTTCCTCGTTTGAACGCGTCGACAGAGAGGGAGGGAGAGTGTGTGAGAAAGAGGGGGAGGAAGAGAAAGAGCCCAAGCCAGAGGCCTAGAGTGTGAGGAAGAGGGGAGAAAAAATAGAAAAGAAATTAATAGGATTTCACAATCTTCAAGAAATTTTCTCACATTTTTACGTTTTGCCTCTTTGTACACTCAGCTGTGCAATCAGACTGTTTTGAATGAGTCTTTTAGGGTATAAATCCGTGGTTTATCACGGGGAACTTTTTTTGGGAGAATTAGATACTATTCCGGTGTCGGACCAGATTTTGCAGTTCCCAAACAACGAGATTCGAATTCACCACTTGTCTCCAGGTAGCGAGCGATGCATTCCTCTCTCAATTCTCCACACGATTTCTTCATCCTCGTTGCGTTGCAAGCTTGAATCATTGTCTCCAGTCGAACAGCCTCATTTGATCACTCTTCACGCCGCTTGCTTCTACGAATTGAAGGTTTTATTTAGTTATCATTTCGTTTTGAACTGTCTGTTTGTTTATGTGAAATGTCAGTGGATTTGGTTGTAATTTTTCACTGAATAATTTAATAGACTTACTCAATTGACTTGAATAGTATTATTTTTCTTTTAATTGGTTATACAGACAGCGGTTGTGGTTATTGGAGATGAGGAGGTTCACTTGGTGGCAATGCCAAGTAAGCAGAAGAAGTATCCGTGTTTTTGGTGCTATTCGGTTCCCTTGGGTCTGTACAATTCGTGTTTAGGAATGTTGAATTTAAGGTGTTTAGCGATTGTATTTGATCTTGATGAAACACTTATTGTTGCCAACACGATGAAGTCGTTTGAGGATAGAATTGAGGCTCTTAAAGCTTGGGTTGCACGAGAGACTGATCCAATTCGGGTTGCTGGAATGACTGCTGAGTTGAAGCGCTGCGTGGATGATCGAATGCTGTTAAAGAATTACACAGAGAATGATTATGTGATGGATAATGGAAAGATGTTTAAGATTCAACAGGAGGAGATTCCTCCGCTGTCTGATAATCATGAGAAAATTGTTCGACCTGTAATTAGATTGCAGGAAAGGAATCTTGTTCTCACGAGGATCAATCCTGAGGTTTGGGGCTATTTTTTTTTTTTATTGAAGCTAATTATTTGTGTATGAAATTTGTCCATTGCTTCTGATTGGTTGAGTTGCATAGATTAATGAATGTAAATATGATTTGATCAAGTGAATTTGTTAGAATTACGTGTCTACATGATAAGAGGTTAGAAATTAGATGGCACTAGATTGTGCAATGAGGATGGTTCATTGTGTTTTTGTGTACAGGCAACTTTCATATGTATAATAATTTAAAGTATTATCGAGTGGAAAAACAAGTGATTGCATTAAAGAAATCATGGATGTATATAATATATAATCATGGAAGCTAATATGTATTTTATAGTTCTTGTTGGNTTTTGACCAATAGATAAATCCAACCAAACACGCTCCAAACTTCCTTTTGTTGGTTTTATGGAAATATAATCCAATTACTTTATATTTTTCGAATAATCCTATAATCATCTAAACTTCAAAATGCTATTTTTAATAGATACTTGGCTTCACAATTATACTTATTTGATTGATATAGTAGTTTTATACTAAAACAAGTATGTCCAAATAAAGTCAATTAAAAAAATGTCAACGAAGTAATAAATAAGATTATCTTAAGCAAAAAATAAAAAATAAAAAATGAAGAAAACGTTTAGAGGAAAGAAAATGAAATTTAAAGGAGCATCCGATCAAACGGTTTAAAAGCAGCCGCTTCAAAATAATCCATTGATTGAGTGCCACGTGTAAGAGATGGTCCCACCTCATCACAAAGAGCATGCGCTTCTGCCTTTCTGCTGGAGGAATCCGTACCATTTAGGTATTTTCGTAAATTCAGACAAAACCAACACTATAAAATAAATAAACCTCCAACCCTTGGCCTATAAATACAGCCAGGCCACTTCCTCGTTTGAACGCGTCGACAGAGAGGGAGGGAGAGTGTGTGAGAAAGAGGGGGAGGAAGAGAAAGAGCCCAAGCCAGAGGCCTAGAGTGTGAGGAAGAGGGGAGAAAAAATAGAAAAGAAATTAATAGGATTTCACAATCTTCAAGAAATTTTCTCACATTTTTACGTTTTGCCTCTTTGTACACTCAGCTGTGCAATCAGACTGTTTTGAATGAGTCTTTTAGGGTATAAATCCGTGGTTTATCACGGGGAACTTTTTTTGGGAGAATTAGATACTATTCCGGTGTCGGACCAGATTTTGCAGTTCCCAAACAACGAGATTCGAATTCACCACTTGTCTCCAGGTAGCGAGCGATGCATTCCTCTCTCAATTCTCCACACGATTTCTTCATCCTCGTTGCGTTGCAAGCTTGAATCATTGTCTCCAGTCGAACAGCCTCATTTGATCACTCTTCACGCCGCTTGCTTCTACGAATTGAAGGTTTTATTTAGTTATCATTTCGTTTTGAACTGTCTGTTTGTTTATGTGAAATGTCAGTGGATTTGGTTGTAATTTTTCACTGAATAATTTAATAGACTTACTCAATTGACTTGAATAGTATTATTTTTCTTTTAATTGGTTATACAGACAGCGGTTGTGGTTATTGGAGATGAGGAGGTTCACTTGGTGGCAATGCCAAGTAAGCAGAAGAAGTATCCGTGTTTTTGGTGCTATTCGGTTCCCTTGGGTCTGTACAATTCGTGTTTAGGAATGTTGAATTTAAGGTGTTTAGCGATTGTATTTGATCTTGATGAAACACTTATTGTTGCCAACACGATGAAGTCGTTTGAGGATAGAATTGAGGCTCTTAAAGCTTGGGTTGCACGAGAGACTGATCCAATTCGGGTTGCTGGAATGACTGCTGAGTTGAAGCGCTGCGTGGATGATCGAATGCTGTTAAAGAATTACACAGAGAATGATTATGTGATGGATAATGGAAAGATGTTTAAGATTCAACAGGAGGAGATTCCTCCGCTGTCTGATAATCATGAGAAAATTGTTCGACCTGTAATTAGATTGCAGGAAAGGAATCTTGTTCTCACGAGGATCAATCCTGAGGTTTGGGGCTATTTTTTTTTTTTATTGAAGCTAATTATTTGTGTATGAAATTTGTCCATTGCTTCTGATTGGTTGAGTTGCATAGATTAATGAATGTAAATATGATTTGATCAAGTGAATTTGTTAGAATTACATGTCTACATGATAAGAGGTTAGAAATTAGATGGCACTAGATTGTGCAATGAGGATGGTTCATTGTGTGTTTGTGTACAGGCAACTTTCATATGTATAATAATTTAAAGTATTATCGAGTGGAAAAACAAGTGATTGCATTAAAGAAACCATGGATGTATATAATGTATAATCATGGAAGCTAATATGTATTTTATAGTTCTTGTTGGCTGACATAGGAGGATAGCATATTGCAGTAACTCGCTCTGTGAGTTTTATTGTTCTTGTTGGCTGCCATTGGAGTGGTAGCATATATTGTGTCCTATCATGTGTCTAATTTTTGAGTATTATGAAATTCTGTTGGCTTTTAGGATGATGTTTGGGACTTGCATAGACTTTTTCAAGTGTAGTCATTTGTTAAATATAAGATTTACAAGTACTTAATTTGACATATGTATAATATATTGGACATATGGAGTGTGACCATTTCCTGAATTGAAAGGTGTGGTGGTTCTCTTTACCTGATTGTTAGTGGTTCTTTTGTTTATGTAGAATCGTGATACTAGTGTGCTTGTGAGGTTACGACCTGCATGGGAAGATTTGAGAAGTTATTTGATTGCGAAAGGACGCAAGAGGTTTGAAGTTTATGTTTGTACCATGGCTGAAAGAGATTATGCCTTAGAAATGTGGAGGCTTCTTGATCCAGAGGCACACTTGATAAGTCCGAAGCAACTCGTGGACCGTGTTGTTTGTGTGAAATCAGGCATGTAACCTATGTTTCAAGAATATTTTGGCCTTGATTCATGCTTTGATATTGACGTGTTGTTTTATTACAACATGTAATTGGTGGAAGTTGTTCTATCTTTTTATGTTATACTAGATTATTGTGTCAAACCTCAGAGTAAGGTTTTATTTTATTTACTATTTATTTAAGTTGGTGCTGATCTTGCAAATTCTGGTTCATTTCATAGTGCACTATTCAACCTGGAATATGAAATATTTACTGATTGTGCTTGAGTTGGCCACCTTGTTTTTTCTTTTCATGTCTACATTTTTTTACTGAAAAATTCTATTGTTCACAGGCTCCAAGAAATCTTTGCTAAATGTCTTCCAGCATGGAATGTGCCATCCAAAGATGGCAATGGTGATTGATGATCGTTGTAAGGTGTGGGAAGATAAGGACCAACCTCGAGTTCATGTAGTTCCTGCATTCAGTCCGTATTATGCTCCTCAAGCGGAGGTACAAAATTTCTTTCTGTAATGTTAAATTAATATATTTTTTCTTATCTTTTCTTGCTTGAGTATATTATTGTATTATTTCATTGGATCTCTAATAAAATTGTAATAACACCAGAGGTTTTCTGTTGATATCTTTCTGTTTCTCCCCCCCCTTTTTTTTTTTTTTGTGTTATCAGACAGCAAGTGCTGTTCCAGTCCTTTGTGTGGCAAGAAATGTTGCTTGCAATGTCAGAGGTTATTTTTTCAAGTAAGATCTGTTTATTTTGTGTTTTCAAAATCTAAATGATGTTTATGCAGTCTTACTTGTTCAATTTTTTTTTATTGTATTTCGTATACCATATTTTTCCAGGGAGTTTGATGAGAATTTATTACGAAGAATATCTGAAATCTCTTATGAGGATGATGTGATAAATTTGCCACCTGCTCCTGATGTGAGCAATTACTTGATATCAGAGGTATTTGAACTGAAACTATATGTTTTCTAATTTGTTAAGTGAAAGTTCATATTGTTTGTTTGTATTCTAATGTAGCTCTTACTGAATTGCAGGATGCCAGTTTTGTACCAAATGGCAATAGCAATGCCCCAATCAGTGAAGGAATGAACGGAGTTGAGGTGGAGAGGAGATTGAACCAACCGGTATGTTTAGAGTATTCATATGGTCTAAAATAATTCTCAGAAGACCTTAGTTGGTTGGGATAGGGTCTTTACTGGTTGAGTAAAGGCATAATTGGCTTCATCTACAATTATTGATGAACCATCATTGTTTTATGCTAATAATGATGTTTTCCCATTGGTAGTGCTGAGTTTATTTTCATGTCTCACAATGGAAATTTAATGATTTTTCTTCTATATTGACCTTAGTTCTTGTGTTTCAGGATGAGAAGTATGTTGTGGACTCAGTTATGAATCCTATGAAAAATAGCCTTGATTCGAAACCTGAAACTTCTGAGCCACCTATTGCAATTATTCCAAATGTCATTGGTCCAACATCTTTAGCAACACTGAATCCTTCTCAAAGTATGGACTTCATTTTTTAATTAAAACTTTTCCTTTTGTTATTATTTTGAAGGTATGATGTAGGGTATGTCTTGATTCTTGTTCTTATACTTTTTTTGAATTTACCATAGAACCTAGTTTGCTTGGGGCTCCTGTTAGGCGAGAGAACAGCTCTGTGAGGCCTGGTTTAGATTTAAGGAATCAAAGCTCAGGTCAGCCCCCTCTGCTACCTAGATTACCTGTGCCAACACCATCATCCTCAATTCAACCACAGGGAGGCTGGATAGTGGAAGAAGAGGTTAATCGAGTGCATCAAAATAATCGACCAGGTTCAAGTTCAACTGGTTTACTGTTGCATGCATCCCAACTGAAGGGTGAAGAGGTTCGTTTGAATTTTCTTTGAATGTTCTTGAGAAATGCATTGATAGTGTTGATATTTTATATTCCAGTGTTTTTGTGAACATTATAAAATGATTATCTAAATTAATTTTGATTATCTATAGGCAAATAATTTGCACAGACAAAATATGCTACCAACAACTCAGCCAGCAGGTTTGTGACTCTATCGACAACTGAATTAATTTGAATCATTTGCTAGTGACTGAAGTTAATTCTGTGATAGCATTTGATAGGAAAGAAATCATCATGGCACATACTTAATGTAAAGAACATCAGTGAATACATCTTATTTATGCTTGCGGTTAATGTTTTATTTATTTGTGAGGTTGGGCTGTTCAGAGCATAGAACCTGACTTGGAGACAACTAAATGGCTACTTTAAATTTATTAAATTATGTGATTGGACTTAAATTAAATGCAATGATGATTTCATGTAATCATACTTAGGAAATTGATTGCTGATTGAAGTTTCTTACAGAGGTTGGTGTATCCCAAAATCATGCATCTTCTAATGGCAAAGAGGCTCAGATTGAAGTTGGAAAAATGAACTTCCTACCGCCCCATTTGTCTATTGGTGTGCTGCAAGAAATTGGAAAGAGATGCAGCTCAAAGGTACACAATGCTTTGCCTTGGAGTTTTGTAGCCTTCTTACTTGCCTCATGGTCCTTATCACATAACGTCTGATGGTGCAGGTCGAGTTTAGGTCTGTTGTAAGCACCAGTAAGGATTTGCAATTTTCTGTTGAGGTAAGTGGAAAATAACTGTATTATTGTGTAAGTACTAAAGGAAATGGGTAATGCTATTCTGTGAAGTACTGTTTGCTGTTCTTCAGATACTCTTGTTAATCAGTGGATGTTTACTATTATTACTTAATTTGCTTGTGCTTGGTTTGTCGGGAGTTTCATTTGGTATAGTCACTTAGAGGGTTCATTGTCGTTACAAATTAGTATGTTAGGCAATTTCTCACTCTTTATTTTCTTCCCACCTTTTTAGTTTAACCTAAGAAGGAAGCAATCGTTATTGCTTACTGACTCTTGCAAGCTTTTTTAATTCAGGTTTTGTTCACTGGTGAGAAGATAGGTGTTGGAATGGGTAAGACAAGGAAGGATGCTCAACAGCAAGCTGCTGAGAATGCCTTGCATAGCTTAGCAGGTAAAAACATTAACCAGCTTACTTTTTATCACATGCTTTGCATTGTTTAAGATCTCTTTTTTTTAAAAAAAAAAAAAAACTGTTACAGGTCATTTTAGAGTATATTCTCTATCATATGACTCAAGGAACTTTGGAGCTTAGACATTTGTTTAACTAAAATCAATTGAATATAGATTGTTGATGTGGAAGACTCGTAATAAAATCTGTGTTTTGTAGAGGGTGATGGTTGTTGCTGCTGTTGTTGGGAGTAACATTCTTTGTTGTCTGATATGGTGATGTTCTTTGTTGTCTGATAAAGCTTAATGGTTTATTGTAGATGTTATGAATGACTTTACATTTATGGATTGTATGATAATAAAGTTAGTGCACATACACTGGAAAACTTGTTATTTTCTTACTTTTATCTCTATATTTTATTTCTTTGGGATCTATTTTTCTGGTTCGTTTTGGTTTCTGAGTGGAGGCATATAGTGCTGAATGTATTTTGTGCATGGTATTTCAGAAAAGTATGTAGCATACATAACACCTCGCGGTGGAGCAGTGGATAGAGATTTTGATAAGCTTTCTCTGGAAAATGAAAATGGGTTTCTGTGGGAGACTGTCAGTCCTGAATCAGTCGAAGGGCCAAAAGAAGAGGAGTTACGCAAAGAAAGCACTCCTGAGGTGGGAATTTCTGGTGATGCTTTCAATACTTGATTTGATTTCTTTGTTCAAAAACATAGGTGAGGCTTGGATAAAGGGTATGTGGGCAAGAAATTTCCAGATGAGGGGTAGTGTTATCTGGGGAGAAACCACTCCTTTTTTGGATTTTGCATTGCACCAAGATGTGAGAACTAGAACACTGAAAGGGGAGTGAGCTGGCTTCATATCTGCTACTTCTGCCTTGACCAGGCTCCGGTATTTCTATTTTAAGAGGTAAGGGCTTGGTGGTCAGTCTCTAGTTTCTACCCCTTATCCAAGTACTCCCATGTATTTTTAGGATTTTTTTAGTTATTAATATATGGATTAATAATTTATTTGTAGTACCCTCTTCAGTGTGAATATACATTTAGTTGGGATTTTCTCCTCATTTCTCCTTCAATGTAGTTGGAAGTAAGATACTGTTTATTTGAGTTTATTGGTAATTCTAATTACGGCAACTGAATCTATCAATGTTCGATAAAAAAGTTTAATTATATTTTTCAAACTTCACATAAAGGCTATATGTTAGATGTTTGTTCAACATAATTTTTCCTTTTTAGATGAGGAGATCTTTAAACTTCCATGTAATTTGTGATTTCATAAAATTCTACTGGACCAAAATAATTTTTTGTGTTTTCTTATAAATGCTTTTCAGGCTGCTGATGTCGAACCTGGGAGTAGTTCCTCCAGTTTGGTAAATCAGCAAGTGCAAAAACGTGCCAATTTCCCCAGGTAACATAAAATTTGAAGTATGACTTACTGATTTAGTACTCCTTCATGTTTTTGAAAAACGTGAGCAAGGATCAACTTAGAGCTTGGTGATAGTTGATCTTTTAGTTTCTTATATCAGTAATTTTGTGGACTTTTCCAGATCGCCACAGTTTATTCCAAGCAAACGGTCAAAGGAAGAACTCCATGGTTCAGATAGTTTATCATCCTCTCGGCAACAGAAGAATGGGCATCCTGTTGAAAATCAATAAGATTGCAGAATGGAACCTGATTTTAAAAAAAAAAATTGACAAAAAGTTTTCGAGGCCTTGGATTGGGCTATTTGTACATTCATATATGCTCATCTTCCCCAGCAGAGCTGAAGTTGGCTCGGTTGGAGGTGAATACATCCCTTCTCTAATTTTGTTTTAATTTGGAGAGATGATCTGTCCCTTTTCATTACACAACTTTTTCCTTTTGTAGTGGATGTCAAGGGCAGAGCTTACCCCCCTAGACCATGTAAAGTCTCATCTTGGTTTTGTAGATAAATGGAATTATCATTCAAGTTTCTTAAATTCTCCTAGTTTTGATTCTTGAATTCCAATTATATTGTGCAGTAGAAGTTATTTTGGATTGATGACAATGTGACAATTGTTGAAACCACGTCCAAAACACCCAATAATAAAATCAGAAAAGTTACAAAAGACAATTCATTTATCTTTTATCTGTTCCAATAAAGGAATTACGTTTAGTATTCAAATAAAATATTTTATAGAATACAATGATCAATAGTATTGTCTAGTATTCAAATAGAATATTTTATAGAATACAATGATCAATAGTATTGACGGTTAACTCTCTTGCTCTCTATTTTGCACTCAGGTTTTTTACACTTATAAGTATAAAATGCATATAATAGAAAAATGAACCATATTCAATAATTATATCAAATTTTTTTTGCTTCAAGCATGCAGGAAAATGACTCCAGCAAATTTATAGAGTATTAGGGTATCATTTTTATATAACCCATCCCATCCCATCCCATCCCACGCCGTACGCTGTGTGCTTCAAATTGATACTTTTAAGATATCAATACATTAAATGATTTTAGTATGATTAGAAATTCAAATTGGGACGGCTGCAGAGATGCCGGGGGCTCTTGGCTGTCTGATCTCGATACCAATTAAAAATCGAGCTGTGGGAGATGTGGGTGCGTTTGGTTTAGTATTTTGGATAGGATTTTAGGGATAGTATTAGGTTATTGGATATGGGAGTATTACGAGGTAAATTTTAAAAATTTGTAAAAAAGCCCTTAGGTTTACTAATTTAACTAAAGACCCTGATATATAAAATGACAAAAACACCCCCACCACATGCAGTGTCAGATTCCAACCACTACCGCCGGAATCTGGCCGAAAAATTTCGTTACAGCACAGACTTGTCGGATCTGTGCCGTAACACGTCGTTATGGCCTTTTCCGGCCAGATTAATGATGGATCTGGCCGAAAAATACCAGATCTACGGTCTGTTATGGCCGTCGATGGCCGAAAAAGGCCAAACGAGGGCCATCTTTGGCCGTCAGCGACGGCCAAAGATCTTGGCCGTTGTTGACCGTCAACGACGGCCATTTCTTTGGCCGTCGCTGACGGCCAGATCTGGCCTTTTCCGGCCAGATCCGTGGTGGATCTGGCCGGAAAAGGCCACAGCAGTGAACTTCCGGCCATTTCTGATCGGAAGTTAGGCCGTTGTACAGATTCTGGCTATCACCGACAGTGGTTGCCGGAATCTGACAAGTTGGGTTGATGGGGGTGTTTTTGTTAATTTTTAAACTTTTTTTCCAGGGGGTATTTAATGAAATTAATAACCTTATGGGGTTAAAATGTAATTAAAAAAAATAAGGTAATATTTTTAGAATATTGTACCAAACACTATTTGGAGAATAGGATCCAAAATAGGAATAAAAATATTAAACCAAACATGCACTATGGTCCAAGGAAAGAGTTTTGGACTTTATGAAATTGTACATACGGCTGCCATTCTTAATATATCATGTACTTGGAAATTCATTATCCTCTGCAGAAAATATTCGAACCTTTTAGCTACATAACTTGGTAACCAATTTTATATGCTGCACACAAAAATAACTCTGCTATACTTTCATTATTAATTAACAGAATACAAATCCTGGGCATTCTCAAAATAATAGCGTACAACAATTATAGGTAAAGGAAATGAAGTTGATATGTACATACAATACAACAGCCTTTCACACTCTTATACTGTATATTCCAGGTCACAAAAATTAGGAGACCGAGTAGCACAGTTACAGGTATTAACTAATATAACCAATCTTTCATCTCCGTTCTGTTATATGATGTTACAGCAATCCTAAACCATTTAGAAGCATATGTAGTGTTCTACGACCCCATTGGATGTCATTTTGCAAAACATTACTTTCCAATGGCGTTACGTTGTACTCCTGTTCTTGTTTGGCTGAATGACGATCATTAAGCTGTTTGATGTCATTTTGCAAAGAATTACTTTCCAATGGCGTCATGCTAGACTCCTGTTCCTCTTTCACCTGGTGTGAATCACTCTCAGGTTCTTGCTTCTCATCTGACTGGATATTAGTCAGTCTCAGTTAAATAAATAGAAAAAAAAAAAATAGAAAAAAAAAAAAAAAGGAAAATATAAATGCATGTTATATGGTATCAGCAGTTAAATGACATGGACTTTGCCATGATAGAATTAACACCCTCTTTTCTCCAGCAAAGGTCTTTACTTTGAATTATTAGAAATCACATTCTTAATAGTCAAGCAGATGATAGTTCTGTTTCATGTTCTTTATTTCTGGGAGTATGATTTTGATGAATATTTGAACACTGTATTGAATGACTGGCAGCTGACTTTTAGATGGATCTAAAACAGTGAGACATAATCCCATCCTTTGCAAAAGTAGCTTTGTAAGTTTTGTTGTGTAATTGAGTAAACAACCGAACTTCTTTGATTACTGATGGTAGAATTTAGTACATAGAAATAACGTTTACTGCAATCTTGTTCCAACTAATGATAATTAAGATGCAACCTCTCAACATTGACAAATAAAGAGCTTTTTTTACTCATGTACAATATTTTAGATTTCATATAGCAACCTTAGATCTCAACAGACACAAGTCATGTGGATTCTACTAACATTCAAAGATGTGGCTAAAGGAAATTGGAATATTATTGCTGGGCAGGTAAAAGCAGCAGAAGAAATGAAGAAAGAAAAGATAAACGAACAACAGAACATCACACTCATCAAGCAGTTACCTCAGGCAAACTATGGTTCTTAGCTTCATTCATTCCAAGCGAAGCATCAACAGGAACACTCGACTGATTTTCATTTTGAATGTCTCCTTCAGTTGACACTGTTTCTAATGGAGTCAAGCCATGTACTAAAACAGGTTCTCCTTCATAGGAGATTAGATTTTCCTCATCGTCTGAGCTTTCTGGCTTCTCGACGACTGTCGCAGCTCTCCTAATATCTTTTGCCATCACCATACTCTCGTCAGTCACAGGTGTTTCCTCGATAGGCTTCTCTGGTGTCGATAACCAATCCAAATCACTATCAACTGCATCAGATGGGTCGCCTATGCCAACGACCAGTTCCTTTTTTGGCTGAATAAACTCATCTGGAAGTATAAGTTCTGATTGGACAGCAGGTTTTCCATTTTGACTAGCCATTGGTTCTTCCTCAATTATTTTCTGATATTCAGCATCGCCTATGCCAAAGACCAGTTCCTTTTTTGGCTGAATGACGTCATCTGGAAGTATAAGTTCTGATTGGACAGCAGGTTTTCCATTTTGACTAGCCATTGGTTCTTCCTCAATTATTTTCTGATATCCAGCATCGTTCCAGTCTTCCATAATGGTGATTGTATTCTTAGTTTCCCAAGTTTGAATGGTCCGATCAGGGCCTGGTTGCCACAGAATGCCACCGGTGGCTTTTTTCAGTATGAACTTGAATTGGATTGATTTTCCCACAGGTATATCCTAAACATAGTATCACATCCAAATTTATCCTCCAGAAAAAAGAAGTGTACATATATATCTTGTAACTTTTTATGGAAGTTCTTACTTACCAGCTCCACACTCCAAACATGTTCATCTGACCAGTCCATTGGTATTGCACTTTCAGGGTTCCATAAGCCAAATATAGGGTCATCTCCTACAATGAAAAATCCCTCGCCAAATCGGCATTTTTTCTGTATCTGGAATTTGACATGAACAGTATTTGATTGATCTGCACAACAGAATCATAGACTTTTAGGCTTAGATAGTTTCAAATATCTTAAGCTTTGCAAGATCAGCAGGAACTTACACGTATATTCCTGGCCGCATTCTCCAGTTCTCCCTGCACCAGTAAAATGTTTGTCGGATTTCCATTAACAAGATGATCTTTTTACACAAGTCATAACCACTTTTTGAAAATTTCATTTGCTTTTCTCCCTCCAATTTTATCATAGAAAGAAAAGCATATCAAAGCGCATCATTACGCTAAAAATTAAGCAAATCTACTGTTCTTATCTGAAACAAATAGTCCTTCAAAAGGAGAAAAAAAAAAATGCTCAAAAGACTTTCTCAAGTATGCAAAATAAAATTTAAGCTTCTGGCATACTTTTATGTCTATAGCAGAAACGAGGGCATAATCAAGTGGGTTCTTTACTTTTTTTTTGTCTTTCTTTTATTTGACGGACAGTCTTTTTGCAAGAAAAATCTACAAAAAAAAAAAAAAAAAAAAAAAAGCGCTAACCCATTTGATGCTTCACCACGAGAATCATAGACTTGGAAAGAAATTTTGAAATTAATATCACTGATTCTTTCATAAAGGAAGAGAACAGAAAAAGGAAAAAAGAGAAAAAAAGAATATGTTCTTAAAACCACCATAAACAACAATATGAACAAACCCAAAAGTGAAGGGAAAAAGACCTGAGAATCAGCCTCGATACAAGAGATTGCCTGCACAGTCTTGTCTTTGAGAGATACGAGTTGCAAGAACCGGCCATTAACATGTCTCTTGGAAGGTAAAAACATAAGCTGGGGTCTATTAACATACAACTCTTTAGAAGAAAAGAAACATCCGTGTCTGTACTTGCCAAAGATTATCTTCGAAGCAGAACTTGTCAAAGTTTCCATCTCACTCACTCACCCAATTACCCACTTCAAGTTACAACCGTGTGAGCTGAATTACAAAGAGAGAAATCCAGAAGTGTTAAGTCAATTATTGTTTGTTTCTGTAAATCTTTTGTACTATGTTTCTGGTGGCTCTGCTGAAACCCAGTGAGTGATATATAATAGTGGGACCTAATGGTGGTGATAAATGACCGGATCCGATTCCACGTGGGTTGGTTGAATCTGCCTTTCATTCAACTCAAACGTGAGAATCTCAAGCAAATTTAAGGGATTTAACTGTTGGCATCTCGAGAGACTTCATTAAAATGTCACCGTCGGTGGTCACTCTTTCTCAATCCCCACCATTCACTTTAATGGTGGACCTTGCCACCTGTCCCACCTCATCTCACTTATTATTATTTTTACATTTTCTCCTGGCCCCCAGAAAAAATCTAACACAAAATATTTGGATTTGATTTTGCTTAAAGAGGGAACCTGTAGAAGTTGGCAAGTGGCAGCTGGAGAAGTTGGCAACCTCAGATTTATGTTTTTTCAAAGTTGAGATTTTAGGTTTGAGGTTGGGTTTCATCTTCAGCTTTTCGAAGAAAGAAAAGTTATTGCTTCAGTGGCACTCCAGTACTGGCTTAGGGGCACCTTTTCAGCTCCATGTTTGCTGTGTTCACATGAAAGCAAATTAGCAATTAATGTTTCTCTTCTGAATATGGGCTGATGAGAGTATGGCGGGCTAGGTCAAGCACGGTTCAGACCATTTTGGGCCATCTCTGACAAACTCCAATATGGGCTCATCCTGAATTAGCCCTTTTGCACATGAACCTCCCTTCAGTGGGCAGTGCAAAATTTTGATCTTAAATTGGTGTAAACGCATCACTTGTTATTATAACTGAGTTCATGTATGCAATCTTCCGTAAAAATTGGAAAAAAAAAATATTATTCCTAGACCGTGATCCACTAAAGAAAAGATGATTTATGGCCTGGAGAGCTTCAAATTTCGGCTCGCAATTTGGATTCTAGCCTATAAAAGTCATGAAGTGCGGCTGAGAATATTAAAGATAAAAAGTCTTGTTTCGTTGGCATAAAAGCAAGTCCATGAGCTTATCATTCTTTTACACGTCCATTTCCAACCATATTCAATTCCAAATAAAATAATATTTATCGATAAAGCTTCCTTCACTTCATATCAATGATTTCCTTTTTCAAGTCAAAACTCAAAATGATCACAATTTCGTTTTTTTTTTTTTCCAGTGAAAGCTTTTCCTTGCTCAAATGGCATAAGGCATGGGCTTGATGTGGATATAAGATTAGACTTCCAGGGCTCGACCCACTGGGTCAAGGGGGCCGGCCTGTCCCATCCTTGTTAAGGTCAATAATGTGGGCTTATATTATTAGTAAGTATAATGGGGACGGGGGACCTTGTATTTTAGATTATCTTGTATTCTTGTTCTTGACCTTAAAAGTGCACCAGTGATCATAGACTTAAACTTGAGTGAGTACTAACAAGTCTGGCAAAGAAGCAAAGTTTTAACTACCTCTAGGCAGTTTGTCAGTTCGATTAGAACTTTTGGATGTATTATTAAAAAAATCTCGAGTTTGAATCTTTACTACTATTAATAAGAAGTAACCATTAAAAGTTTATTTGACAGTTAACTTTAAGAACTCGGGAGAATAATCGAAATGCGCACAAGCTACCAAAAAAAAAAAAAAAAAAAAGACTTAAAAGCAATCAAATTCCAACATTATGGTCGAAACCATGCAAATCCCACTACTTAATTTTCTAAGCTCTTTGCTCCATAATTCCGATATTTAACAGTTTTTTATTGGAGTCTTAAGTCAAGCATTTGCTGAGTACGGGGTATATGATATCATTGATCAGCTGACTGAATATTTCATTTTCATGTATACCCACCCAAACCAGTTTGCAACTTGCAAGAGAATCAATGAATAAAATGTTTGACTGGGCAGATACCAGTCTATTTTTGTTCTCTTAAATTGATTGTGTATGATTGCTAGGGAGACCAGGATCAAATTAGGTAATCTAAGCACGATCTATACTGATATGGACCAATTTTTTACTGAGTATGGGCAGAAATCTTCCAATCCTTGGAAGCAGCAGTAGCCTTTGACTTGACTTCATGGTCATATTTCCAATATAGTCATTGCTTTCACATCTAGCAGAGAAATTTCGCTCCACTTTCTATTGCTTTCCTTGACAGCCAGGCATTTCAGCTGGATATATGTAAAAACCATGCACAGAACAAAGTATATTACAAACTTTACATATTTCTTTGATTGATTAGTCACAGATTAATAGAATTTAATGACCTTTGAATAGTTTTAACACTTATTCTTAGATTACACGATACAGATTACAGATTAGCATAAGTCTACCAATTCGAAGTCTTCCATAATAATTTAATGGTATGTATCAAGTTGTATACTTGAACCAACTTCTACAGTCAGGAAAAAAATTCTTATACATAGCACCTATCCCTCCAAGAGTGTTACTCATCAGCCACCTTCTACAAGTCAGCTGCCATGTTGTCTTCCCTTCAATTCAAGACTTCACTCCAATTCTCAGTATTGTTCATTCCATTTCTTGTTCCGTTCTTCATTATTTTGCTGCATACACCAACCTCTACTCTTGCATCATTAATTACCACTTTGCCTGGAAATGACACTGATAGACTTGCCTTGCTTGCTATCAAATCTCAAATAACCCACGACCCACTTGGTTTCTTTAGCTCATGGAATGATTCTGTTCATTTCTGCAACTGGAAAGGTGTCACTTGTGGTCATCTCCATCAAAGAGTGATCACACTGAACCTGAGCAACTATAACTTGGTGGGTTCACTCTCTCCTCACATGGGAAATCTTAGCTTTCTCAGAGGTATTAACCTTCAACAGAACTACTTCCATGGTGAAATTCCACCAGAAGTAGGCCGTCTATACAGGCTCAAGTACCTTAACTTCTCCAATAACTCATTTTCCGGAGAGATCCCAGTCAATCTCTCAGGTTGTTCGAGCCTTATCATGATTCGTTTAGGCTTCAATAACTTGATTGGAAAAATCCCGAGTCAACTTGGCTCATTGCAGAAGCTTGAGAGATTTCAGCTCCACTATAACCATCTCAGAGGACAACTCCCAGATTCTTTAGGCAACCTTTCTTCAATTAGATCATTTTCCATGTCAGTTAACGGCTTTGAGGGAACCATACCTGAATCCCTAGGCCGGTTAAAGACTTTAAATTTTCTTGGTTTTGGCCTTAACCAATTATCTGGTACAATCCCTCACTCGCTTTTCAATCTGTCATTCATTTCGGTCTTTACTCTACCATTTAATCAACTGCACGGGAACTTACCATCAAACTTGGGCTTCACTCTTCCTAATTTGCAAGTCTTTAATATTGGTCACAACCGATTCACTGGACCGCTTCCACAATCATTATCCAATGCTTCAAATCTCCTTGAACTTGATATCAACAGTAGTAATTTCACAGGGAAAGTTAAAATTGATTTTGGGGGCTTACCTAGTCTGTGGTCACTGGTTCTTGCAGCCAATCAACTTGGGAATGGAGAAGCTGATGACTTGAGCTTCTTGGATTCTTTGACTAAATGTAGAGATTTGCGGTTACTGGATCTAAGTGAAAACGGGTTCGGTGGCAAGTTGCCTCACTCTATAGGCAACCTCTCAACCCAACTTGTGCAACTTAGATTGGGTGGGAATCAATTATCTGGAAGCATCCCTATTGAGATTGAGAACCTTGTTAACTTGACAGAGTTAACAATGAGCAAAAACAATTTATCAGGGAGCATTCATGTTATTGGAAATCTTCCGATGCTGCGGCGATTGGATTTGTCTGAAAATGCTTTTTCAGTCCACATTCCATCATCAATAGGCAACATAACTCAGTTTATGCTCTACACCTTGAAAAGAACCACTTAATGGGTACTATTCCTTCCACTTTTGGAAACCTCCATTACTTGCAAGACCTTGACCTTTCTCAAAATAATCTCCAAGGATCCATACCCAAAGAAGTTATGGGACTTTCTTCCCTGACCATTTCCCTAAATCTAGCCAAAAATAAACTCACTGGAGCCCTGCCTTCAGAAATTGGTAACTTGAAAAATCTTGGACGCTTGGATCTTTCTAACAATAAGTTGTTAGACAAAATTCCAAGGGGCCTCGGCAGTTGTGTAGCCTTGGAATACCTCCAAATGGAAGGTAATTTCTTTATAGGAACTATTCCTACTTCTTTTAGCACCTTGAGAGGACTCAGAGACTTGGATCTTTCACACAACAACTTGTCGCGAGAAATTCCAGAGTACTTCCAACGCCTTTCGCTCACAAATTTGAACCTTTCATTCAATCATTTTGATGGCGAGGTACCAACAGGTGGAATTTTCAAAAATGCAACTGCCATATCGGTAGCTGGTAACGATAAGCTCTGTGGAGGTTTACCAGAATTAAAATTACCTCGGTGTTCTCCAAGTCATTCAAAGAAAGAGAAAATGTCCAGCAGACTGAAGTTAATAATTCCGGTACTTACCGGACTTGTGGCGCTAGTTTTGATCATGTCACTTGTAATTATCCACCGGTTGAGGAAGTGGAGAAAGGAGCCTTCAGCTGAGTCCTCATCGACTAAAAAGGATTTGCTTCTAAATGTCTCTTATGAAAGTCTCCTCAAGGTGACAGATGGATTTTCTTCTGCCAACTTAATTGGTTCCGGAAGCTTTGGCTCTGTCTATAAAGGAATTCTCGGTCTAAACTACAGAATTGTTGCTGTGAAAGTACTTAACCTACTTCAACATGGAGCTTTAAAGAGTTTCATGGCCGAATGTGAAGCTTTAAGAAACATAAGGCACCGCAATCTTGTCAAAATTCTAACAGCGTGCTCAAGTATTGACTTTCAAGGTAACGATTTCAAAGCTTTGGTGTATGAGTTCATGCCTAATGGGAGTTTAGAAAGTTGGTTACTACCAGATGCAGATGCTGATCATATGAATGATAGCCCGAGGATTTTAAGCCTTCTGCAAAGATTAAACATTGCGATTGATGTGGGTTCAGCTCTGGAATATCTTCATCACCAGTGCCACAAGCCCATTGTCCATTGTGATTTAAAGCCGAGCAATGTTCTTCTTGACATTGATATGACTGCACATGTGGGTGATTTTGGGTTAACAAGGTTCATTCCTGAAGCCACGAGTAGGTCTCATCCAAATCAAAGCAGCTCCATTGGATTGAAAGGAACCGTTGGCTATGCTGCACCAGGTAACTTGCTGTGTTCAATAATTTCTGTGGTTTTTATTTCCTGGAAATAATTTCTGTCAAATCCAGGAAGAAATTTAATTTGTATGTACACTTGTTCTTACTATTATACAAATTGAATTTGTAGAGTACGGAATGGGAAGTCAAGTTTCAACATATGGTGACGTGTACAGCTATGGCATCCTCTTGTTGGTGATGTTTACAGGGAAAAGGCCAACTGATGACATGTTCAAAGACGGATTAGATCTTCACAACTTCGTTAAGACAGGCTTGCCTGAACGAATATCCGAAATTCTAGATCCAGTTTTTGTTGCTGGAGGGGAAGAAGAAGAAGAAAGAGGTGATCCAGACATACAAAAGGAAAAAATACAGGAGAGTTTGATTGCAATACTCAAAATTGGAGTTGGTTGCTCAGTGGATTTCCCCAAAGAGCGAATGGACATCATTGATTCTGTCAAAAATTTACAGAATCTCAGAAGCTCTCTTCTTCGCTATGGGATTATCTAAATCAAATTAAAGTTAATTGTATAACTAATTGCACCCGTCTTCTGTTGCAAGGAATTGGAGTCCTTCAGGAATAAAAATTTCAAAGGCAAATATTTTATATAGTACTGAATCTAGCACAAGCCTTTTAAATTATGCAAAACAACAAATAAACCTTGTAAATTGTGCAAATACATTCAGGTTTTAATAAACTTGGACAACAACTATATCACATACTAAAATTAAAGCAATGACAACACCTGAAAAGTAATTATTTTCCAGGTAATTCCGGAGGCCATTTTTTTTTTCCAGGTAGTCTGACACCTTGTATGCTTATCTTGTTCTTGCTCTGTTCTTGTTCTTAAACTTGACAAATGAGTCTCTAATTGCATGCAGATTCTTGGCGACATCACCCATAAACATCCGCTCTCTTGGCAATGTTGAGGAACATATGACCCGATTCTCGGTATTGAAATCAAGTATTCCATTTGCGCTGCCTTCGAAAAACATTGATGGGTCAATGACATCCATGACATGGTTTGGCAAAGCCATTGCGGCAAACTTGTGAATGTTCAGATCATCTTTAAACATGTCAGCAGTGGGCCTTTTTCCTGTAAACATCTCCAGCAATAGTATACCAAAGCTGAAAATATCTCCAAGTATGGAGACTTGGCCTTCCATGTATTCTGCCTTTTGCAAAATCTGCCACTAATTAGGATACTAATTCGCATATTCTATTCCAAACAAAGAGAATTTGGCATGCTTAATGTAAGGCAGCAGATGGTTTTAAAATATTAGCAGTTGTTTAAAGGATTACTAGTCTTTAAGAGTTTAAAAATAGCGACATGCTGTAAAATTTATAATCATCATGAACTAAAGTGTGATTCTTTGGGTTGAGAGAAAAAAACCTGGAGAAATGTATCCTATAGATCCCTTTAGCCCGACTGACATTGGTGAAGGATTATTTGATGCTTCAACAAGTAACTTTGCCAATCCAAAGTCACCATTATGAGCTGTCATATCTTTGTCAAGAAGTACATTGCTTGGTTTTAGATCGCAATGAACTATTGGTGTGACATCAACAGCTATATTCAGCCTTTGCATAAAACTCAATTTCTTAGTTCTATTTTACTTGTTATCACTTGGATGAAACCACCTGTCCAAACTTCCACTGGGCATGAACTCAAAAACTAAAGCTTTGAAGTCATTTCCTTCATGATCAACACTTGAGCAAGCGGTAATGACCTTGAGGATGTTACCATGTCGTATATTTCTTAATGTATCGCATTGATGAATGAAACTCTTTATAGCTCCTTGTTGTTGAAGTTTAATTGCGATAATTGTTCCATCACCCAATAAAATACCTTTGTATACTGAACCAAAGCTACCCTAACCAATCAAATTTTCTTTAGAGAAGTTATTGGTTGATTTTGAGAGCTTTGAGTACGTAAGATAGACCTAATTGCCTCTCAAGAGAAAATGCATTGGAATGTGAACAAAAGAACTGAATAGAGGAATTAAAAATATGGTTGCTATACTTGTTGTCAAGGCTGAGAATAAATTAGACTGATGAAGAAAGACAAAATTATGCAATAAGGAAGCAAATCGGGAGGAACAGAGGAAGGAAAAAACAAAGAGAAAAACAGACGAGAGCTGAAGATGAAAAATATTTTTCATTCCCTTGATATTCATACAATGTACATGTTTTACAAATATACAAAAAAACTGACACAACCATTCCTTAATTAAAGCACAACATACATAAAGAAGCAAAAGTTCTTTGAAATAAGGATCACCATACATTTTAACCAAAAAACTTCAACTAATACAACTACTCTACTAACTTGAAAGACAATAAGAGATACAAACAACCTCAATCTTCTAACACTCCTCCTTGAGGTGTTTGTTATTTAATACCCCAAGTTTCATTCTCCGAATTTTTAAACTTAGGCTTAGGAAGAGCTTTGGTCAAAATGTCTGCCACCTGATCTTCCGAACTACAGTACATCAGATTGATTTCACCTATGTTTTCAACCTCATGAATAGCATGAAACTTGACACTAATGTGCTTTGTTCTACCATGATGAATTGGATTTTTGGTGATTGCTATGGCTGCCTTGTTATCCACAAAGAGTTTAACACTTTCTTGTTCATCTTGTCCCAAATATGAAAGAATTTTTTGCAGCCAAATGGCCTGATTAGCAGCAATTGTAGCAGTTGCATACTCAGCTTCTGTTGATGATTGAGCTACTATTTCTTTTTTTTTTTTGAGTTCCAACAGAACATATCACTTCCAAATGAAAAATAGTAACCCGAAGTGCTTTTAAAGTCATCTAAGCTCCCTGCCCAGTCACTGTCTAAGTAGCTTATAAGTTGACTACTACCATTTTTAGAGAACCAGCAACCAAAATCAATAGTTCCTTTTATGTACCGTAACACTCTTTTGGCTGCACACCAGTGGGATTTTCCTAGTGAATGCATAAACCTAGACAGTAGATATGTAGCAAACATTATATCTGGCCTGGTAGAGGATAAATAAAGTAGGCTGTCAATGAGACTTCTGTATAATGTAACATTTGCTTTCTCTTCTGAGTCATCAATCTTCTTCAGTTTTTCATTCACTGCTAAAGGTGTTGCAACAACCTAGCAACCTTCCATTTGAAATCTTTTCAACAGATCTTGGGCATATTTTTTCTGAGAGATGAATATGCCTAAGTGATCTTGATTTATTTCCATACCCATAAAGTACTTCATTTCACCAAAGTCTGACATCTCAAATTCTTTTTCCATATTCTCCTTAAAATCAGCTACTGATTTCATATCTCCTCCTATCATAAAGATGTCATCAACATACAAGGAGACAATAAGAGATGGATCACCATTTACCTTTTTAACATAAAGAGTAGACTCATTTGGACTGCAGCAGAAATCTTGGTTTAGCAAGCAAGTATGTATCCTGCTATACTAGGATTTTGGTGCCTGTTTTAGGCCCTAAAAAGCCTTATGCACCTTATAAACTTGCTCTTCTTTCCCAGGCACTTTGAAACGTTCAGGTTGCTCTACATATATATCTTCATCAAGCATACCATTCAAAAAAGCAGATTTAACATCAAGATGGTATATTTTTCAACCAAGTTTTGCAGATAGAGCCACAAGCAATCTGATAGTATCATACTTGGCTACTGGAGCAAAAGTGTTAGTAAAATCAATGTCATATTGTTGTAGATATCCTTTGACAACTAATCTAGCTTTGAGCTTGTTTATAGTGGCATCACGATTGAATTTTGTTATAGATCCACTTGACACCAATCACTTTGTGATTTTCAGGTTTTTTGAACTAGGCTCCACGTATAGTTCTTATTAATCATTTCCATCTCATTCTTCATTACTGTTTTCCACCCTTCATCGCAGACAACTTCATCAAATGAAGTTGGCTCTAAAGAGGCTACATTACACCTGCCATAAATATCTTCAAGAAATCTCATTTTTGTTGCAAGAGTACTTTCTTCATCACCAGAATATGAATCATTTTCTGACAAGACATTGGTTCCAGGATTTGAACTTGAACTTGCTTTCACTTCATTATCATCTGCCCAACTCCAAATTGCTTGTTTATCTAATATGACATTCCTACTAACCATAAATTTATTGGTTGAGGGATTGTACACTCTATAGCCCTTAGATACTTGGCTGTAACCAACAAACACCCCTTTCTCTGATTTTGCTTCTAACTTGCTTCTTCTTTCACTTGGAACAAGAGCATAACAAACACATCCAAATATTCTTAGATGATCAACAGAAGGTTTACAACCATGCCAGATTTCATAAGGAGTGGCATTATTCAAGGCTTTAGTGGGCAGCAAATTTAACAAATACACTGAAGTATTTGTTGCCTCAGCCCAAAAATTTTTAGGTAGTTTTTTTTCAAACATCAAACACCTAGAAATTTCCATCACTGACCTATTTTTCCTTTCACTCGCTCCATTTTGCTGTGGACTATAAGGAGTGGTCAGTTGATGTATTATACCTTCTGTTTTGTAGAAAGAGGAGAATTCATTTGAAGTATATTCTGAGCCATTATTTGATATGAACAACTTCAGTTTGCATCTTGACTGCTTTTCCACTTTTGCCTTAAATCTCTTAAACAAATAAAAAACTTCTGACTTTTGCTTCAAGAAATAAATCCAGCAATGTCTTGAGAAGTCATTAATAAAGATTAAAAAGTATTTGCTCCCATTTAGAGAAGCAACACTCATTGGTCCACATAAATCTGAGTGAACAAGCTGCAATTTCTCAGTGGCTTTCCATTTGTTGCTTGAAAAAGGTAACTTGGATTGTTTGCCAAACTGACATATTTCACAGACACCATGATGATCATCAACATTTGGTAAATTTAGCACTAGCTCTTTATCATGCATATTTTTTAAAGTTGCATAGTTGAAGTGTCCAAGTCTTCTATGTTATAAATTTGAATCAATTTTAGTATGCTGATAAGCCTTAGTGCTAGCTACATTCCAGTCTATAGCAAAATTCTTGTCTATCGTATTGATAGTCATAAGTTCACTACCACAAGGATCAACAATGGTGCATGATTTGTTTTGAAAATGCAGAGAATAACCTTTTTCCAGCATCTGTCATACACTTAGCAAGTTATGATTAATTTTAGGTACATAAAGAACATCTTGAATGTATTTGGTACCTGTTGGAGTATCAATTACAGTCGCTCCTCTTCCCTTGACATCTAGCATTTCACCGTTTCCAATTTTCACTTTGGACAAATAGGATTCATCCAAGTCTTTGAGAATGTTAGCATTAAAGGTCATATGGTTTGAACAACCACTATCTATTAATTGGGAGGTTTGATTATTCTGAGTTGCATAACAAGTTGCAACAAAAAGATTTTCTCTAGCATCTTCTTGTTTCTCAGTTGAATGAATTTGCTGAGTTTGTTGAGCTTGGATTCCACTTACATTTTTGCACACTTTATTAATGTGTCCAAGTTGGTTACATGACCTGCATCTAACGTTAGGTCTATACCAGCAATGATTTGGAGAATGCCCCTTCTTTTTACAATGAGGACAAAGAGCATACTTGCCTTTCTTT